ATTTCTAGACAGAAAGGAAATATCAATAAAGGTGCCTCTTTTTTTTTAATTTCTTTTTCTTTTTGTGCTTCAAAATCACAATAAAATATTTGCTTAAAAAGTATAAATGTAAAAAGTGGATTAGCCTAGTCATGTAGAGCTCAAAGTTTGTCTCATAAAGTGTAATTAATACTTTAATAGCATTGGAGAATCACCTTACTTTCATTCATAATCACTATTAAAAAAATATGGTTATGCAGAACCTAATCTTTTTTTATAGCATAAAAAACATAATAATTACAATAAAGGATCAATAAGTACAATAATAAATATTAAAAAAATAAATAAAGCAATCGTAGGAGGAAACAAAGGGATTATATGTTGATTAGGTGGAGATTTGATGTAGTTGTTAGTAGTAATGATTCGATTTTCTAGCAAATGAAAAATATTAAGAATATAGCAGTTTTGGTCCATAAGTAATTGATAAATTATGATTTTAGATTCTACAATATCTGATTAAATATATTAAATCTTTATTTCATTGAATTGTACACTCATTCCTTTATTTGTGAATATTCACATATTTACGATACTTGTTAATTGTTCCACAACTTTATTATATATGTGTTATGTCAAAATTATATTAGTACTCCATAATATGGACGACAATATAGTTATATAAATAGTCAAAAATAATATATTTTCTATGTGAAGGGACACACATTTTAATTAAGTATACTGAATCATAGTATTGTTATTATTACACTTTTATTAGCGTATTCCTCGATTCTAAAATTACTTGTTATTTTCTTTGCTTCGATTATTATATTATTATTTGGTGTTTGTTACTATTCTCTTCTCCATTGTGTTTTTAGTATATGATTATTTCACTGATGTATTTGTTTTGCATACTTGATTTTGATGTGCGTAATTACTTGAGTCGGAGGTCTATCAGAAACAACTTCTTTACTTTTACATAAATAAAAGTAAGACGGTATACACATAATTCTTATTAGATTTCACTACATATGTTATTGTTATTTTATTCATATATCATAAAGACCAAAAGCAAGTTTTTTTATTTTCAATAATTTAGGGATTTGAAATAATAGTATCCTAAAATATTAAGTAGGAAGGATATTAAAAAAACAAAGGCAAAACAAATAGTGGAAGAATATCTACTGTAGATTTGTGGGCACATGCAAAACTACAGTATACATTACTCTACAGGATTTGCTAAACAAAATCCCTTGGAAAGAGAAAAAAATATATTTTTAAAACATAAGAAAGAGAATAACCCAACACTTCCATATCAATCCAACTAGACACCATATCAACCATAATCTAATAAAATAATGAAATTCTAGTTAATAATGTTGTTAAACTAATCAAATTCTCTTATAAAGGTTCGAGGGTCATTGTGTTTCTTCATGTCTAGGGAATACATTTTTATGAATTTATGTTGTGTTCCCACTTCTAGAAGTAAATTAATGTTGGGTTATGAAGGGTGATTAAGGCGTCATGCGAAAGCTTACAATTGCAATCAAGACAATGATAAATTAGATGACAAATAAAGCGATACTAAAACATAATATTATTAATATGAAAACTAATTTAAAAGAAAAATACTATAACTGTTGAGAGAATAAATCTCCCCATAAACTAAACTCTTTAAATGTCTACATTGTGGATACTATTGTGTCATGCTATGAGAATAGGGATCTTCAATTTATAGATCTCCAAATTTTCCTCTAAGGAAAGAATAAACCAAATATGGAAGAATATTATATTTTCCTTTCCGGAAAAGTAAAAACATTTATGGTAATGTTTTGTCTTTTCTTTAAGGAAAATAAATCTTAAATTATGGTAAGAAAATCAGGGCAAAACCCTAACAATTAAGACAATGGAATGTAATTAAGGGTATTCAAAATTTGAAGTCGATCGGTTTATAATAATTTTATTTTTTAAAAAAATTATTATATGTGTCTTAAGAGGAATTAAATCCCCATCAAGAAGGATAAAAAAGCAAAAACAAGTTTTATATTGTTTATATATTAAAAACACTTCTGAACTTGGCGCAAATTATTAGTTTCGTTTTTAAATTATTGACAGCCTTAAAAATACTCCTCTACTTGACTAACTTAACTTGGATACACTCCCGATCGGCCACATGATATAGCTAGGAGCATGGAGTTCTTCATAAAAAACCGAGAGAAGTGTTGAAAACACCTGAAACTTGATGAGAACCTAGAGGTGTAATTCACTCATGTTGCAAGATTGAGGGTGTATTTAAGTTCAGTTAGTCAAGTAAAAGAGTGTTTGCTGTCAATATTTCATGGATGAAACTAATAATTAGCTCCAAATTTAAAGATATTTTCAATACTTCTCTTTTTTACTAATGAGTTTTCAATAAAAAAAATTATATTTAATAAATTTCTCAATATAATTACAAAGTCTCCTCGAAAGTTACTGAATTCAAGACAATTCCCTTCCCACCACCTAAATTCGCCCATGATATATATATATATAATGGATAAAACAAATATTAGGAAATATAATTCCACTCAAAAAATTAGTTCATGAAATTATTAATAAATATTTTATACCTTAAATCCTAATAAACCTTAATACAAATGGATATTTGGCTTAATCGAACCATATTCTAATTAAGTTGAAATTTTTACTAGATTGAATTTTCCTTTAAATTTACTTCAACCTTCATATTAACTAATTTATTATTCACTTGAGAAAGTAAAAAAATAAATGACATCATTTTAAGGAATTGATTGGTTTGTTTTCTTGTAATTTATTGAGTTCACATGTATGTTTAACAAATGATCATTATTCTCTCTTTTTCACAACAAAACAACTCATAATATATGACCCACAAATTATAGCGTGTAACAGCTCGATTTGATATGGTTTTGCATGCCTACATAGCCTTTTGATTCTGAAAAAATATTTATTCACACTCAATATTTATATATTTATTATATATACGTATGAATACAAGATACTTATCTATCTTGTATATCAATTGATTATAGCGTTATTAACATTTAACATAGGGTAATGAAATGGATAAGTTCTCGACACTTTTACATATAAAGATTTCAAATTTAAAACCTAAAAACAAAATAAATACTTCTGATAATAAAACGTTTCCCAATAAATTATCGTATGCGATGCAAATGTGAATTAGTTGGTCCAATATATTTCTAATACTGCCGTATAACTCATTTTATTTATTTATTTTTGTTTTAATGGGACTAATAAATTCATTCTCACCAACATAACTCACATTTGCTTTATCTCCATAGATTATGAAATATATTGTTACATTATGAAATATATTGTTACATTAATTACAATAGAAAAGAAGATCTTCCATAAGGTTGCATAAATAATTATTTCATCTCTTTCAGAAGAAAATCTCTATGGAGATTTTTTTGTAAATTTGATAAACAAGTACATTGAAAAAAGAACTTGAAAATCTACATAGATGGAAGGAAATTTTAATTTTCATTAATGAAAGAATCATTACTTATAATTATAAATTTGATTGCATCTTACCTAATTAATGATATACCAACCAAATTCCTATAGATTTTCTCCCAAGTTTTATCCAAAACAAATTATTATGAAAATATTATAATTAAAATTATTAGGGTATGAAGCACGCCACTTGGATTTTTTAAATATTTTTTTTTGTAAATTTGAAGTTAATTAGGAGAATATATTATCTATTAGAAGGTTAGGTTTGATGTGAAAAAAAAGAGTAGAGGTTAAGTTAATTTGTCATAATAGGTTTCCTAGTATATTAAAAAAATCATTTCACTAATACATATATTTAACATAAACCTCTATTTTTTTAAAGAAAAAATCTCATATTATAATTTCTAGCTTCAACACTGTATAATTAATAAATGTAATTATAAATGTTTAGTACTATTTTTCCAAAACCAATTTTTATGTTATATTTTATCTTTCTATAAAAACTTTTTTTTTACCACTAACAACAACATCTATTCTATAACAATATGTTTTTTGTTTTTTTTTGTAAAATTACTACTATAATAACTAATTTGTTTTAATCATATTCTTTATCAAATGTTACTATATGTGTATTATAGGCGGTCACTATAAGCCCTAAAATAGAATGAACAAGACTATTATAAAGAAATCTGACTATATAATAAAAATTTAGATTAATCAAAATCCTAATGAATATCGACAACAATTTACTAATGGTAAAATAGTGGGGGTGAGGAAACATGGGAGGTGAAGCGCGTAAAGGGAAATATATGATTTAGAATTATTGCATTATTTTATGAGTTTATGATCAGAGAGACAATCACTATCAAAGTCTTGAGTCTTGACTAATAATAATAATAATAATAATAATAATAATAGAGATAAAATAATTTTATAGAAGTTCACAAAAATGAGCTAGCTAGCAAAAGTAAAAGGTATTAGGTCTCGAGTTCGAACTTTTAAGAATGCATTTTTTTCGTTGGAAGTGTTATTTTCATAAATAAGACCTTATATAGTCAAATCTCATGAATATCGATATTGAATGAAAAATTAAAAAAATTGTAAAAGGTATAAGGTTTTATCTTTGTACCTCTGATATTGGAAAAAATCATCTTGGAGCGTCGTGGCCCTTCTTAAAAGGTTCTGTAATGTGCGATTCAGATTTAGTCAATTTGTAATGCAAATATTGAATACTGAATGAGAAATTAAAATAATAATAATTAAGGGTATAAAATCCAATAATATAAGGATAAATCAAATCATCTCCATAAATCTATATGCAATCTCTTCCAGCTATGCAATTATTGTCATCTTTTTTTAAATTAAAAAAAAACTACTCCTTTTGAAGATCTCTCTCTCTCTTTCTTTAATTGTTTTAGCCTTATAATGCTACAAATATTTTGTGCTAAAAATCATCTCAATTCTTGAATCTTTCTTCTTTCTTCAAAAATTTCTGAAAGTTTCAAATATTATTTTCTTGAATTTTTTTTTTATAGAAAATATGGGGAGCAATTATTTTGGTGAACCAAACTTTGTAAATGAAAGATCATCATCATCTTCATCAGGATCATCAAGAAAAAGCAAGAAAAATAATTCAGAAAAACCAAACAAGCAACCACAAAGAGGACTTGGTGTTGCTCAATTAGAGAAAATTAGATTGCATAGTGAAATGGGTGCTAATTATCTTCACAATAATAATCCTTATGCCAACAATCTCACACAGGTAATTAAATTATTTTTTCTCTAATTATCTTGTTTAATTATCTCTTCCCAAAAAAAAAGTCTTTAGTGGTGGATCTAATAATTTTAAGTTATATGTGTAAGAAACAAGTATTAGATTGTTATTTATATATAGTGTAATAAAAATTTTAGTGGTAGATCTAACAATAAGTTCATATGTTAGGCTAAAACTTAGTAGTATTTGATAGAGTTATATGTATATGCATAACAGCATAACTCACTTTCTTATCGATTCAAAATTCATAATGTCTAAATTTTTGAATCTGCCACTACAGTATTCCCTATCCCCTAAGTTTGTTTTCTTTTGAATTTGACTACTGACCCTCTAAGTTTTCAAGATTTTGATGTAATTCTTTCTTATATTTGTGTGTGTGTGTGTGGATTTTGTATATTTGCAGGAGGATATGAGACTACAAGCAACATATTCATCATCTTCATCTTTTTCATACTCAACAACTTCTTCTACTTATGGTTTTCCCAACCACCAAGGCATTATGGTATGCAGTTGAAATATATTTATTGGATATATGAACTATTTTTCTTTAGGATCTCAAAGTTTGTTTTTTTTTTAAAATAAAAATTTATCCTTCCAATAATGTGGGAAGATGTCCCAAAACATTATGTACTTCTTGTCCATATGTCTAGATCATTTTTTTTTTGTGATTGTCTTGAATTCACTCTTACTTTATCTTAAAAGAGAAATACTGATCTTAGTGTTATTAATAAAAAAAATTCTGAATTATTATGTGATAATTAATCCATATTACCCTAGATATACATACTTAGATTTCTACATTTTGTAAAAGAGATTTTTTTTTTCTTGGAAACTCTTTGAACATAAGAAAGATCTTTCTTTTCATAAACTTTTCCATACAGTATATAGAAAAATTGACCACTAATTTTGTAGCAAATATATAAGCAAATTGATTCTAAAAGAACCTGTTTCACCAAGTAGTGCTAATTTCTCCCTTTTTAGAATGGCTCTAGTGGCTACATTTATGTTAAGTCTGGTCGCTCGGACCGTTGTACCTCTTTAAATGAGTAAATTGTGAAAGATAATTCTAGTATGTGTATTTGGAGGAGATTTATACACTTCTACTTTCATTTTCCCTCTTTATTAGGGGTACTTCATACTTCCTTCTTTTTCATTTTATGTGTCTTAATTTGATTGGATACAAAATTTTAAGAAAGATCGATTTTTGAATCTTGTAACGTATGTACAGCTTCATTCTATGTGTCTTGATTTGACTTATCACAAACTTTAAGAAAGTAATATAGAGTAATGAATCTTGTGACCTATGTTCAGTGTATCAAAATATCTTTTGAATCTTGTAGTCTTTAAAGAGAGTTATTGTATATCGAAAGTAATATTCTTTCTTTTAAAAAAAAAATAGAATTAAAAGTGTAAGAGACATAAATTGAAATGTAGAGAGTATTATTTCCTTGTAGTTATCTGTATGTGATCTATAGGTCCCATGTTTGAGCTGTGAAAATAATCAATATGTTGTCTGCATAACAACCCTTGTGATACGACTATTCCCCAAACCCTATGTAAATATGAAATGTTTTGTATATCGGACTGCTATTTTTATTGCCTTTTCACTTCATCTCAATTTTTTTCAGATGGGAATGAGTGGCATTGATGGAGCAAATATCAGATATGGAGATTCTCAGCCTAGTTCTAGACCAAGGTACTTAATTATTGCTTATTTCACAATCAAGGAATATTAATAAATTAATGAACAATTTGAACTGTTGATCTCACAATTTACTTATTAATCTCCATAAAATATTGTCAATTGTACTTGACCAAAATGATTCTAATTACTTTTGTGGTTAAATTCAGTACATGGCATCCTGGCACAGTGCATGATCCTCAAGTGTATGCTCAACCTAATATGACTAGACATCACCACAACATGCAAATAGAGGTATTTTACTTGCTACTTTATTAATTCCATGTGGCACAATTTGCATGTTTTTTTTTTTTGTTAATTCAGATTTACACCACATAAAACTCATTAAAGGGGAAGCACAAGATTTTATTTATTTTTTATTTTGAGAGCTCAAATTCAACACCTCTAATTAAGGCACTAGTAGACAATCTCCTTTTTTGACGGATTTCGTCAGAATGTGACTTGTCGGTAAAGTTCCTGACAACTTTTTTAAATAAAAAATCCTTATCGACGAGCCAAATTCTGATGTGATATCGTCTATTTGAAATGAACGATTTTTCTGATAGTGAGAGTGGAATCGTGGAAGGTTTTTGGTTTCTCACCCGGTGTCCAGAGCCCACATTGGAGCTCCGACTAAATTTAGATCACGCACTGCAGGGCCCATACGAGGGTGGTTCTCCCAACAGGATTTTCTCCATACCCAGGGCTCGAACCCGAGACCTCTGGTTAAGGGTGAAACACTCCCACCAGTGTACCACAACCCATGTTGGTATCGTCATAGAGTTTCAATTATCACATATAAACCTTTATGCATGACAATATCCTTAAATTTACGTGTGAAATTTGAAACTCCATAACATGCTACATTTCAATTACACGAGTAACAAAGTGGTTATTTGTGGATTTTATCTCAGCACAATCCTTGATGTTGCAATTAAGTTAATATCAATGAAATAATAAAATTGATTGTAATTTTTTATTTTTTTTTGGTTATTTTATTTTATAGGATTCAATGGAAAGGAGGAGAAAGAAAGATAGAAGTGACTCTATTGGTTCAAATAGTCAAAATTCTGAATCAAATGGCAGTCAAGATTTAGATTTGGAGCTCAGACTTTCCCTTTGATTTACTACTATTATTACTATGGATTTGAATATATCTCATGAATACTAATTAGTTAATAGTGTTTTTTAAAAAAAAAATAGAGAGCACCCTTTGGTTTGTATTTTGCAAATGTTGCACAAATTTATTATGAGCAACTTATTGAAATTCACTAGTCTTTTTTTATTATTAGAAAAGGCAACAAGTGTAATTGAAGGAAATTGATTTTCCATTAAAAAAATAATTGGAAAACAATATCCATGGGATGTGTCATAATTCCATTGCAATGGAGGGAAATTGTACAAATGATCCTTTTTGTGGCTACTATTTAAATTATGAGAGTTGTTTATTAGTTTAAATTAATTTGTCTTGAAAAAGAAAAAGAATTCATCTAAATTTCTTTTAAAGGGGTGAATTTCACAAATAATCACTTTTTTCGGTTTTTATAACGGAGAAATAATCATTATTATAGAACTTCAGATTCTATGGATGAAACTTTAGAATATTGTCATGAAATTATTTTTGTGGAATTTGCAATACTATGAAAAGGGCTATTTAAAAAAAATGGTCTGTAAACGCTATTTTTATATTTTAAAGTAGAAATTTAGTGCACTGAGTTAACATAGACATAATTCAATAATATCTTCAAAAAAGGTCATATGAAGCAAATAATCTCATATCATTGGGGGTATATGAAGTAAAAAAAGCATCTCATACATTCGTATCATCTGTTAATATTTGAACCATTTTAATGAATGACACATATTCAATTATGATTTTTCAAAATTGGCTATTTTAGTTATTAGGGTGATGACATAAATATGCTCAATTATTAACAAATAGTAGCATGCATGAATGAGTCATTTCTAATAAATAGTTTGATGGTATATTATTTGAGTTTCCTTCCTTCTTCTTTTTTGTTGTTGTGAATAAGCAGAGATAGAGCTAGAAACTGATGTACGGATTCAACCAGATATAGTAACTTTAGTTCACATTTTGTATTTCTAATAACAAAATTCATCAAATATATACTAACACCTGATATTATTATTCTTAAATTTTAAATTCATATAATTCAAATCCTAATTCCGCATCAGCAAATAAGTACAAGTACTCAAGTTAGAATCATGATTACAGTATGTTTTCTATCATCAATAAACCACTTTTATTAAACAGTATTCAACTTTATAAAAGAAGGTATATGGGGAACATAAAATTCAAGTGGATAGATAGACTAATTTGGTGCTATGTTGAAAATCAATATTCTTCCCCATTAGGTAATAAAAAAAAGGGAACAATTTTTTGTTTGATTTCCTCATTTTTTGTATGCATCTTTATGGACTTTTTTTGGTGTTGAGATGTTTTTTGATTTGGTACAATGTATGAAAATGGTCATAATTGAAAACATATATCAATTATAAGGTTAATAATGTCAAGATGCTAATTATATATCCTATGATAGTCACTATTGGAAAAGATAAGTTTAAAGAAAATTGTACCTTATTCATTATGATATATAGTTGAATTCATGAAATACTTTAATTGGCTTTTGGAAAAAAACAATCTTTATATCTTGACTTATAACTAGAATTAGATTAGATTTTGCATCTGATATATGGGCCCTTGAACACAATTTTCCACTTCTGGTGATTATACAGTGTACGAATAAAATTTCACAATGATAATTTACAAAAATAACGAGCTATTTATATGTATTGGATACTGTTAATGATATATTATACGCATGCTTAATTCAATATGAATAATATCACATTATATTAAGAATATTTTTGGATTGTTTCCACTTCATGTCCTGATCTTAGATAATTCCTGCTTAATGAGCTATAGCTTTTGCATTAGGTTCAAGGTTTATTGTGTCAAATCATGTACATCTCAATTTTTTATTTACTCGATACTAAATTCTCATTTTATATTGTTCACACTTCCGTCAACATATGTGAATAAGAGTGAGAGTGTTAAGTTATTCCATATAGATTGTGATATGTAGTATCGGTCTTTATTGCGATAATACAATTTTTTTAAAATTTTATCTACTCGGTATTCAAAATTCACTGGTTGGATATATTCATATCCTCTTCCGGATAAATTCATGTTCCCTTTCGGATATATTCTTATTTCCTCTTGGATACATCCCTCTCATTAAGTAATGTATTATTCGCAATTCATGAGTTATCTATCCGTAGATTTTCTGATGTATCTAAGATCATATAATTTTAAGGAATTTTTGTAATTTGAAAAAGAATAGGAATATGATCTAATTATCTCTTAACACTGTGAGATTTATGTAATTTTTACTTAATTAATTCATGTTCACTTAGTGTATGAATACTAAAGGAGAAAGAGTTTTCTATTAAAAAATCTTTTTCTAATTGAAGAAAATAGGAATACATGTTTGCGTCGGTATTCGATAACTGCATTAGATTCAAACTAAATTCATATATGCGTAAAAAACTCTCACATCAAAAGTAAAACACTTCCTAAGAAAGACGACTCTATACCAGACATATTCGAACCCAAAACCTTTTAACTAATTTTTTTTTTATTCAACTTAAGGATGAGATTCCACATATCCTATTACACTCAAGAAATTAATAAACAACCAATAATTCTTGATTTGGACCAGGTAATTAAGATCACAACCCTTAATGGTCTGTCAGGCATTTAAATTTGCTAATTAATGTGAGTTCTGATTGTGATATGTAATTGACTAAAGTTAGTTCCATGTTGCACATAATTAATTATATTTACATAGTAACATGTCGGATTTGGTCAACACTTGTCATTTCCATGCCTTCAATTAAAATAATTTGTTACAAAATCACTATATATGTATTTTGTTTTTAAGATTGGACTAAAATTGAAAAAAAAATATATCATATATAGCTATAGTTTAGAGTGTAATCATGAAACGTAGCTATAGTTTGCGAATTTACAAATTATTGTATCAGGTGGAAAAGTTGCATTAGACATATATAGTTGTATTAGTGAAAAAATTATATTCAGACGGATATTAACACGATATAAAATATGTATCAACACAAATATAGCTACGTATATTTCATATTTTCTCTTTTTGAAAATATAGATATATATTGGAAATACAATCTCAATGTTTGTCACGTCGTTAGATTCTTGTGATTCGAATTCACGTATTGCAGGGTCCATTTCTTAAGTCAACGCTTTTAAGATAAATTTTTTCATTCTCAAAAACTCGAATACTAAATTTCATATTAAGGACGAAAGAATCTTCGCCAACCCGACATCCCTATATATATTTGTAACGCCTCAGTCTGTCAGTAATATTATTCACTCTGGACCTAGGCCCGCACAACCTTAAAATGTATCACTAGTTGGTAAGATTTACTTATATACCTTACATCTCTTGTATATTTTTTGATATGAGACTTCTTATCTTAAGTTGGGATTTCATAATATTCTTCGATGTCATGAATGAGAAAATCAATTTCACAAGATTTGCGTGAGCTGTATACTACTACTATATATATAATTATTATATGTACTCATTTTTCGAAACAGATGGCGAGATACTAATACATATGCTGACTTAGAGAAGATAACAAGAATGTAAATTTCTCCTCTTTAATCATTTAAAAGAAATCATATTTTTTTATAATAGTCATTTTTTATAATATTATTTATTATAACAAATATATTTTTTTATAAAATTAACATTTCGTGTCATATTATATTATATGTTTTTTATAATAACAATATGTTATAAAAATTTAAAAAAGCCAGAACAAAGAACGTTATTATAAAAAGTTTTGATGGTATGTATATGTTGTCCAAAACTTATAAGCTTAATATTTTCTCCTCCCCTCTATGTAAACAATCAATATTTTTTCGTTGTTGACAACATCTTCATTACGATGCAAAGAAAATATAAAATTTAAATTTTATGGGTTCAACTTTTTAGATGTTTAACACTTAACTTATTCTTTTCTCCTGATTTTAAAAATATAATGTCTCAATCATGTGATTGTTTGTCACTAACATGGATTGTGATAGGTTGGTTGGGGTTTTTTCATGCTTGATTAAAGGTCTCGAGTTTGAGTCTTGAATATGAAAAATAAAAAAAACTTGTTAGAAGCGCTGCCCACAGAATGGGCCTTGCAATGAATGATCTGAATATAGTCAGACTCTAATACAGGTACTATCAGTTGATACTCGATGCTGCTTAATTATTATACTATTTATGAATAAATCTAGTGTATAGTAGGTGGGCTTGTAAATTGGGCCTTTAAATTCAACATGTATTCTCCTTAGGTATCATTTAGGTTGGGCCACTTTTAAGAAGAACGATATGAAGATTTTAGTAGCCCAATTCAAAGGACAATATTCCTCCGTCTCAATTTATATTACATGTTTTTTCTTTTAAAATCGGTCCCAAATGACACCTTTTTAATTCAAAAATAATTTAATTTTAAACTTCTTCTTTTATTCTTAATAAAATAATAATATATATATGCATATATTACACCACAAGTTTTAAAAAAATTTCAACACCACTTAACCATGTTGAAAAACAAATTTAAAAGCAAAATTGTAAAATTATACCCAAAAAAGTGTGAAATTTAGAAGTACTACTTCAAAAGGCCGATAAGTAAGAATTTACTCTCACTCGATATTTAAACCAAATAAATTAATTTAACCTTAAAGAGTGATGATAATTTATACATCAACCATGATTAACAATCGATATTGTGAGAGATTATATACATTGACACATGTCATGCATTAGTGTGTTTGGTGTAAACAACGAATATGAATGATGTGGCTAAGTTTTAATCCCAGGAAGAGATCGTAATCCCTATCATACTATAGAAAAATTGTGAATATTTGACAATGGTGCTTAAAAGTGAAAGTATAGAGTAAAATCATAATAGAAAAGAAGATGAGAAGGCGTGTTCAAAAAATAAATTTTCAAAATTTATCTTTGTAACAATATCTTACACTCTCAAACTAGCGAAACGAGTTTATAAATATAAAGTAGAAATAGACTATCGAAGTATTTAGGGTTCGACGCACCGTGGGCTCAGTACACTCATTGGCTAACATAACAATTTATAGAGTTCTATCAATTCAAAAAATGTCGTTAATTAAGGTCTGCACGTCTTAATTAATTAATTAATTAATTAATTAATTTCACCAAATATTATTTCTCATATTTTAGTCTCATGCACGTCATTCAAAACTCAAAATTCCAACTCTATACATTTTAAAAATTGTGTCATAACTGGGGAAGACCTACACAAGCTAGTTATTAATTAGATAAAATATGTATTTAGTACTTTCTTTTTAAATTATCTGTCGTAATTTTTAAAAATAGATATCTTAAATTATTTGTTATTTTAAAAGTTTAAGACAAAAGTTAACTTTTTTCCATTTTATTCTTGGTCGTAGTTGTTCTTAAAGACTACAAACACCTCAATAGAGTAAGTATATGAAGATAAATTATTTTGAGATATAAATAAGGGTACAATAGTCAAAATTCCCTCCTTATTGATATCTTTCTAAAGAGCACGTACAAGAAAAACACGATAGATAATTTTAAACGGAGGGAGTATGTCAACACACAACAGGATCCTAAAAACTCAAATATACTAACAGAGGTGGAGCCAAAATTTCTACTATATTATCATAACTAAATCTTAGAGCGACGACTTTATATATCAAGTGGTAAAATTAGGTTTTACATTTCATATTTGTACATATTTTAAAAGTTGTTAATACATATATATTATTTGAGCAAAATTTATTGGATTCGATCAAATCGTATCCGAACTAATTCTAGCTTTGTCCCTATGTACAAATTCCAATTTTACGACTCATTGTGGTCCAAAAAACTCTTATGAATTTATCTTTCGAATGATCAAACCAAAAGTGCACATACCATTTGAATTTTTCATAAACCTTATAATTAAAGTTCTTCACAATTTTCTCACATTTCAATATACGAAATTCACTAAAGGTGTAAAATGTACCTTCTTCAAAAACTTGTCATTTCTTTCTCTCTTTTTTTTTTACATGTTCTCATTCGTTGGCGCTCTGTCATAAATGTCACAAAACTTTTTTCAATAATAGTGTAACCATAAATGTCAATCATCAAGTAAAAGTGGTCTCCTAAAATACTATATTAAACTTCAATTATCATCACATATATTCTTTTTTTTTCTTGCTAAAAAACCAACAAATTAAATACAACATACATGTAACCAAATTTCTTGATTAATTTGCCAACTACACCCACACGGTATTTTGGAATGTCAACTTCAAAACATGGTCAGCACAAAATTCATAAAAACAAGTTTACAATATAGTAATTGAAAAGGTCTTTTTTTTTTTAATTTTGGCTATATAAACCCTACATAGCCTAAAAGAAAATATACAATTTCCAAGTGTGATCACTCACAAAAAAAAAGGTGTGTGTGATCACAAGAATTAATTAAAGATGGCAAAAATCATAGATTTTAATTCCTTGGTTTTGATGATTATTGCAACAATTACATTTCATTCATATTTAGTCAATGGATGGACATCAAGTAGCATGTATGTCAATTGGGGTGCTCATCATTGTAAACTTATAGGGGATGATCTTCAACTTGTTCTTGATAAATCTGCAGGCAAGTTACAATTTTTTTGGTGATAAATATATAGTAATTTTTTGTATATTACGCATAGAATATCATATGGACGTAATTTTGTATACTATGCATAGAATCACTTTTTTTTTTTGGATATGTCTATGTACGTAGCTTATATGAAAATTAACAGATTCAGATGAACCTACGGAACATGCTCTAGAATATTCAGCTCTAAACCTATAAGTCCAAAGTGAAAAGCGATCGAGCAAATAAAAAATAACATTTATATTTTATTGAGAAAAATTATAGAATTTAAATTTTTCGAGTTTACTAATTATTATGGTTTAATTCAACTTCAGGCTCTGGTGCTCAATCAAAAAATTCATTTCTCTTTGGTAGCTTTGAAATGCTTCTCAAGTTGGTACCTAACAACTCTGCTGGAACTGTCACAACATACTATGTAAGTATATTTGTAATCGATTTTAAATTTTGTATAATGACAATATATAATGAGACGTGAACGTTATTTATTTAATGACTTTAATTTAATTTATCATGACAGTTATCTTCTACTGGTACCAAGCATGATGAAATCGATTTCGAGTTTCTAGGAAATATATCAGGACAACCTTATATTATACACACAAATATTTACACCCAAGGTGTTGGAAATAGAGAGCAACAATTTTATCCATGGTTTGATCCAACTGCTGCTTTTCACAATTACACCATTCATTGGAACCCTAATGCTGTTGTGTAAGTCGATCTTTTTAGACAACTTCCTTTCATTATATAAAAAATCGGTTTACACATAAACTTTCCCATCCTCACTACTAGTGCTTTTGATATCTGACTAAGCACAAAATTTAAAGAATTTTTTTTTGAAATTTATATATGTTATAAATGACTTTTATCATATCAGACATGTCGTCAGAACCAATCAGTCTTGAAATTTGATGTGACATTTTTTTTCTTCAGATGGTACATTGATAGTATTCCAATTAGGGTATTTAGAAACTACCAAGCCAAAGGCATTCCATTCCCAAACCAACAAGGAATGGGAGTCTACACTAGTCTATGGAATGCTGATGATTGGGCAACAAGAGGTGGTCTTGTTAAAATTGATTGGACAAATGCACCCTTTATGGCAACTTATAGAAATTTTAGACCAAGAGCTTGCTATTGGAATGGACCAATGAGTATTTCACAATGTGCAATTCCAACAAATTCCAATTGGTGGACTTCACCTTTATACTATAAATTGAGTGCAAATAAAGTTGGTGAAATGATCTCAATTAGGAGCAAGAATATGATTTATGATTATTGCAAAGATGTGAAAAGATTCAAGGGAGTTATGCCTATTGAGTGCTCATTGCCACAATACTAGAAGGGAACAAACAAATCGGAGTGACTTCACTATACCTGAAGAAAAAAAAGAAGTTGTTTCGATCCTATCGAAGCAACAATGGAAGATATATTTCTAAATTGTTATCATTCTCCTTTTTTGGGAATGAATTAGTTTCAATGTTTCTTTGAACTTCAACATTTTGGTTATATGTATTGTATTTATTTTCTTTAATAATTTTGTTGTGTTGAGCAAGAAGATCTTGTTGAGTTGATATTATTATGTATTTTATTCCTTAAAGTAAAAAAACATATTGTTTTTATTCGGAATTTTTACATAAGTATTACTCAGATAAAAAGATTATCTATCTGTATTCATTTATAAAATTTGCACAACATAGTTATACAATAAGAATAATTGAATCACACTATCGTATCAAATTATTTTCAATGTTTCTATGAACTTTAGCATTTTGATTATGTTTTTCTTATATGTATATATAAAAATTATATATAAATTATACATATATTATACATCTTTAGGTTATTTTAAGTTTATGCGGTTGAGTGTATATCTATTCAGGTTAATCCTTCAATATCTATCCATCAAATTTGGCCCAAAATAGCTTCAGGCCTCTTTTTAATCCAAAATATGATCGTTGGGCTATTTTAATATTTCAAAACTTGTTCCAATTTTTTTGTATTCTATAAAATAAATAAAAGTGAAACTTACCAAAATTTCATTAGTATGAGTTAATTACTTAGATACACTCTAGTTTATAATATTACAATTTTTTTATAAGATTTTGGTGCATCCAGATACATGTATCTCGGGATACATCGTATCAAAATTAGGTGTAATTTGTTGTAGATACATTGTATCCAAGTGGAGTCGCATGTATCTGGGATACATAACACACTCGCCTCCTTCCCATGTCGCTCGCCACTCTCCTATACATGCGAATCACACCAGATACATACAAATAATTGAGTGAGATGGGGAGGTAGGGAGGCAAGCGAGATGGTTATGTATTCAAGATAAATATGAATCACACCAGATAGTGTACATACAAGTACATGTATGTAGTATGTATCTATTGTGATTCACATGTATATAATATACATAACCATCTCGCTCGCCTCTCTCACTATTTTAGTGTATATGGTAGCAAAAATACATTTGTCTAGTTGTATCTTTCTCAATATATGATAGGAAACTCTTAATTAGTGATAAGGTACGTTATTATTTGAAATTATAGATAAGATTAGTATATATGATATAAATGTATGTCTAATAAGATAGTTTTTCCAAAATAAAATTTTAAAACACATTTATTTAGGACCCACAACTAATTCATATCTATCATTCTCCCTTTTCTTTTTCCGATTTTGTTTGGTTGAAATATGGGTGGTCTTGGTTTGACTAATAGTGAACGATATTGAGAAATTTTCTTCGTATACAAGATTAATTATAACAAGTATATTTGTTCCGTATGATTGAATATTCTTGATAGCTTTTAGAACTTGGGAATATAAGTGCATGTTTTATGTCTTTTCTTAAAATGAGTAGAATACATTTTGAAAAGTTATGTTCAATTTTATTTTTTTAAGTTTTATCTTTGTATCAATATCTCATACTCTCAAGCAATCGAGACGAATTCATAAACATAAAGTAGAGGTAGACAATCGAAGTATTTAGGAGTACGACACACCTTAGGATCAATATTCTCATAGGCTAAACTATTTATATTATATAGTTCTATCAATTCAAAGAATAACATTTTAAGGCCTGCACGTCTTAATTAATTAATTAATCAATTAGACCTAATATAATTATGAAGTCCTTGTAGAGTTGATCACTTCTCATTTATTCAAAACTCAAAATTCCAATTATCTATACATTTTCAAAATAATGTGTCATAGCTAGGGAAGAACTTAACAAGCTAGTTAGGTAATATGAGTATTTAGTACTTTTTCCGTTTTAAATTATTCATTGTCGTAATTTTTAAAAATTGGAATCTCAAATTATTTGCTATTTTAAAAGTTCAAGACAAAATTAATGAAACTGAACAAATAATTTGAGACGGAATAAGTATGTCAACACACAACAAGATCTTCAAAGGTCATATGTATAGACAGAGGTGGAATCATAACTAAATTTTAAAGTGACGACTTCAAGTGGGAAAATCGGGTTCTAAATTTCATATTTGTACGTATTTTAAAATTGTTTAAATAAAAATATATTGTTTAAGCAAAAGCTATTGAATTCAATCAAACTGTATCCAAACTTCTTGCTCCGCCCCCTATGTACAAATTCCAATTTCACGACCCATGTGACATGTATAGTCCATTGTGATCTAATAAACTCTTATGAATTTATCTTTTGAGTGACATCCTCATCAAACCAAAAATGTGCGTACCATTTAAATTTTTAATATGCCTTATAATAATGAAAGTTCATTTTTCTCCTACATCTCAATATATGAAATGCACGTAAAAGTGTAAAATGCACTTTTTTCAAAAACTTGTCATTTCTTAATTATTATTTTTTACATCTTCTCATCGGCCCGCACTCCATCAAAAATATCATCATGCTTTTGTAAAATAGTGTAACAATAAATGTCAATCATCAAGTAAAAGTTGTCTCCCAAAATACAAGACATATTTATTAAATTTCAATTTAAATAACTTGTAACCATAAATTTCAATCATCAATTTAAAAAATTGTTCAAACACTAACAAATGCAACATACATGTAACCAAATTTCTTGATTAATTGTCAACTGCATCTACTTGGTATTAGTTAGAATGTCAACCTCAGACATGGTCAGCAGTACAAAATACATAAATTACACATACTAATTCAAAGTTTTTTTTTAAAAAATAAAATAAAATTATGCTATATAAATCCACCATAGTCTAATAGCAAAATGTACAATTTCCAAGTGAAGAAAAAAGTGTGATCACAAAAAATAATTTTAAGATGGCAAAACTCATAGATTTTAATTCATTGGTTTTGATGATTATTGCAACAATTGCATTGTTTCATTCATATGTAGTCATTGGGATGACATCAAGTAGCATGTATGTTAATTGGGGTGCTCATCATTGTAAACTTCTAGGGGATGATCTTCAACTTGTTCTTGATAAATCTGCAGGTATAAGTTTTAATTTTTTTCAATTTTTCAAATTCAGTAGCGGAGCCGGAAATTTATATATATGATGGGAATCCCAAAAATAAAAGAATGTTATATTTGGAATCTGAATCTAGGACCAAAAATAATTTTAGAACCCCTTTACCACTGTACTAAATTTTTCTATTTATGTTGACGCGATTCAATAGTTTATATACAATAAAAAAAATTAACCTATTTATATAGTGTAATTTTTTTTGGCGAAGGAGATTCAATTGGGTATAGTCTTAACAACCAACTAACCACACCCCTGCTTCGATAATGACTGTTCTAGGTAGAGATGGATTCAGAATCTGAATACAAATGGTTCAAAATGAGTGTGATATGATTATATATATATCTTGAAATTTACACATATGTGTACACAATTTGAAAATAGTTGTCACAATACTTATAGAATTTGCTCTAGATCCGTCTCTGACTTTTTAATTTAAATTCCAGGCTCTGGTGCTCAATCAAAAAGATCATTTCTTTTTGGTAGTTTTGAAATGCTTATCAAGTTGGTACCTAATAACTCTGCTGGAACTGTCACAACATACTACGTAAGTATACTTATATAACGTGACAAAATTAACCAACTTTAAATTTTATGCACTAATAATATATAGTAAGATGTAAATTACATTTTTTGTGTAATAATATTTTTTTAATTTATCATGACAGCTATCTTCTACCGGTACCAAACATGATGAAATCGATTTCGAGTTTTTAGGAAATATATCAGGACAACCTTATATTATACACACAAATATTTACACCCAAGGTGTTGGAAACAGGGAGCAACAATTTTACCCTTGGTTTGATCCAACTGCTGATTTTCACAACTATACCATTCATTGGAATCCCAATACTGTCGTGTAAGTCGGTCTTTTTAGATAACTTCCTTTCATTATTATATAAAATACCGTCTTACCTATCAACTAAAATATCTCCAACGACTACCTTTATTATCTATAAATTTCAAATATATTTTCCTTTGCGATTATCTCAACTTTTAACTTTATATTGGTTTAACCACACTACAACAAGAATAACTTTTAGCGGCGATAGATATTGACATTAATAAAGAGTGCTAAAGTCTTTACCGGCATTAGTTAAGTGCCATTAGAACCAATATCGCTAAAGGCTTTAGGGACATATATAAAGAGTGCTAATTGCCGTTAAAAATACATATTTAGCGGCAATTAAGAATTAAGTGCCGCTAATGATCATTTTTGATGTAGTGTCAACTCTTAATTTCATCAAAACACTATCCTCTATAATAATACAACTTTATTTGTTCAATTTATGTATCATACTTCTCCTTTTTAGTCTATCCTAAAAAGAATACCATACGCTCTTATTTAAACTTCTGATTTTACTCGTAACAAGATGACTTATAGCCGCACAAATATTTGTCACTTGTTTTTTACCACAAGTTTCAGAAAAAAAATGTCTTTCTTAAACTTCATGTCTAACCAAACACCGTCACAGAAATTAAAACAGATATACTAGTAGTAATAATAATAGTACAAATAATCAATCTTTAATAGTAAATGCCACTTTTGAAAGATATTTCACTCTCCAACTAAACACTCTAAATATTTTCCGAGAATGAATTATGTCGTATCGAGAATGACTTCTGTCATACCAAACACAGGAAACTAGACAATTTCTTGAAATTTAATGTGGCAATGTTTGTAATTTTTTTTTTCAGATGGTATATTAATAGTATTCCAATTAGGGTATTTAGAAACTATCAAGCCAAAGGAATTTCATTCCCAAACAAACAAGGAATGGGAGTCTACACTAGTCTATGGAATGCTGATGATTGGGCAACAAGAGGTGGTCTTGTTAAAATTGATTGGACAAATGCACCATTTATTGCAACTTATAGAAAATTTAGGCCAAGAGCTTGTTATTGGAATGGACCAATGAGTATTTCCCAATGTGCAATTCCTACAAAAACCAATTGGTGGAGTTCACCTCTATACAATAAATTGAGTGCAAATAAACTTGGTCAAATGAACTCAATGAGGAGTAAGTATATGATCTATGATTATTGCAAAGATGCGAAAAGATTCAAAGGAGTTATGCCTATTGAGTGCTCATTGCCACAATACTAGAAGGACATAAACAAATCAGAGTGACTTCACTACCTAAAGAAAGAAAGAAAATTGTTTTGACTCTGTCGAAGCAGTAATGAAAACCACATTTCTTAATGGTTATTATTCTCTTTTCGGGAATAAGTTATTTTTAATTTTTTTTTGGTCTTGAACATTTTGATTATATTTGTTTTACTTTTATTTTTACAATGTTGTTATATTGAATAAGATCTTGTTGAGTTGATCTTATTATATTCATGTACTTTATTCTTTATAATAAAAAGAAAAAACTTGATTTGTTTTATTCGAAATTTTTACATGATTATTACTCAGAGTAGAAAGATGTCCTATTTTTATTCATTTATAAAATCCATTGACTAAAATATCGTTGTATCAGATTATTTTCAATGTTTCTTTGAACTTCAACATTTTGCGTATGTTTTTCTTATTTGTTCTTTTTTGAGGTAAAATTGTTTGTTTCTATTAATCTATTCACGCTCGTTTTTTTTTTATGTGAAAGGATCATATATCGACTACTTTAAAATGTGTTGTGGAATCTTTACACAAATAGTTGATCGGATTCATTGTTTACTTATTCTTAATCGATATACATAAAATATACATGAATTATACCGAGTTAATTGTTCAATATCCATCCATTAATTTTGGCCCAAAATGGCTTGTACTAAGGATTTAAAGCAATCTCAAAGTGGAAAATAATTCTACATTTCTAACTACCTCATTAAGATTAGGAAGATAAAATCTAGGTCCCTTAATTGGTATTTATTTACGTTGAGGGTTTTATTTTATTATTAATAAAAGATCGTTAGACGCTTTGTCTAGTGGTATAAATTCTTTAAAAATATCATTATATATAAACATGTCATTTAACTATTGGCAGATATCTAAGTCCTTCAACTATAGGTATGAACAAGTAGATACTTAAATTTGTGTAGAGTTGAACAAGTAGAAACACACGTCCTACTTAACAATTTGTGTCTTACGCGACATCTTACATGACGCTACATGTATTATGTCATATAGAATATATGTGTCTTCTTGTTCACCTTTTAACATTTTAAATGTATATTTATGCACAACCAAAATTGAAGAACGGCAAGATGATGTCAATTAGTTAAAGATATTATTGTTGCTAAAATAATTCAACGTTCAAATGCCTTGTTCACGTTGGACTTTTGCAAAGGAAAGATCTTCTTTTCTAGAATTCTCTTTATAATTTGTTCAATAATTTTTTAAACATAATTTAATGATTTTCCCCGTAATAAAAATCATTTTTTCCCATTGTAATTAAATTCCAAGAATTTTTTATTAGAAACAACACCTGGTTTTGTAATAGGAAAACCTTTTTTAAAAAAAAACCATAGTAATGAACCCTTATGAATATATTCAAAGTCAATATCTAGCAAAACATTTTTAAAATAAGGTGTCGTTTTATTTATGATTAGAGTTATGCGGGTATTAATAATATTATAATTATTAATTAGTTACGTATGATTTAGTTATTCAGATACATTATTTCATCTTTTATCTTCCATAAGATAATACATAGATTATTTCCATTGGTATTTTTGGGAAAGCACGTGTGCTTTTTATAGTAAATAAACTTCTGAAATTTGTGTTCTAAAATTAAAAAAAAAATTATAAATATATTTGTATAATTATAAATCATCTTGTAAGATATGAAATTTTAAGTTGAACTATTTTTTTACAAAAAAAGATATTATTATTCTTTTTTGAAATAACAAAAAAGAAAAATGCATCACATAATCTGTTCAATACACAACATATATATAACAATACAAATCATTTTTCTCTATGATTACACACGAAAATGAGAAAACAAAATTCTTCTTCTAATATAAATCATATTCCATACGAATTTAAATTAGTCAAGTCAGTAAATTCTGAATAATCGAATAAACAAAATAAAACCATATGTCGGTCAGCCGGCCAAGTCGAGTCTTTCCATTAGTCTAATGCACGTCATTTCATAATTCCCAAGCCGCGTCCCAACTGTATATGCTTTGCCACTTCTCTCTCTTTTATTTTTACGTATTCTATCTTCTATCTGATGCTCGATATTCGTATTGAAATTCAACTAAATTTATATTCGCACATTACAAGTTCAACTTTGGGGTTGACGCTCTCTGACTGTTTTTTTTTCCTTTTAGTTTCAAGGTACAAACCTCATACTTTTGATTTAGGACGGAGGAATTTCAACCATCCCATCACGATCCATGCTGATACGTGTAATTTGCTAGCTTCCATATTATTTTCCAACAATGACTTCAATCATTTTATATATATAATATATAATTATGTATAAACCAACTACTAAAGATATGAAAATCAAGACGTGGTCAAATTAAATTATAATATTATACATTTTTCAAGGGGTTTTTCTTGGAATGGCATTATTTGATTATAAACTATATATAAAGATAATAAGTATGTCATATTCCTAAGAACAAAAACACATCATTAATTTTCTAGAGAAACTAAGTTAATTATCCCATTTATGTTCAAAATGGGCAGCTCTCTAGTTCTTTCATTTGCTAATTTGTTGATTATTTCAACAATTGTGTTATTTGATTCTTTAGTTATGGTTAATGGTGTTTTCTCAGATAATATGTACATTAATTGGGGTTCCCATAATTCTTGGATGCAAGGAGATGATCTTCAACTTGTCCTTGATCAATCCTCAGGTAAATTAATTTCATCTGAATCATTTTCGTTGAAAAATTATGTTGTAATATCCTAGTGTGACCTGTAGGTCATAAGTTTGAACTGTGGAAATAGTTACTAGTTACTGATGATTATATTAGGGCAGATTGTCTACATCAGATACACTCTTTGGGGTGTGTCTCATTTCCGGACCCTACTGACGTAGGATGTTTTGTGCATCGGACTGTCATAAATTATGTCACTCAACAATTTCTACTTTGGTTTATTATCATTTTCAGGTTCAGGTGTACAATCAAAAGGAACATTTCTATTTGGAAGTATAGAAATGCAAATTAAATTGGTACCTGGAAATTCTGCTGGAACAGTCACTGCATACTATGTAAGTGTCACCTTAAATAATCTTCAATAGATAATGCAACAAATTATATCATATATATAGTAGTCCTTTCAATTATTATTTTTTATCTTATTAATATGCATTCAAAATATATAACATAATCAATAAAACTTGAAAAATTCAAGATTTTTTTTTATTTCATTTTTATTTCCCATCTGATGCCTGGTACCCACATTGGAGCCCGACTATATCTAGATTCGCGCTGAAAAGTTCTACATTGGGGGTAAAACGCTTCCTAACAAAAGCAACTTCATGCCCTAGGGAACTCGAACCCGACCATGAGTTTGTGTAGATTGTTGATTCTATGTTTGGTCTTCTTATATAGTCTTGAACAATTCTCTCCTTGTGAAATAACTTTTGTGATTGAGCTATAGGCTCAGTGTCTATTTCTTTAACATATGGTATCAGATATAAAAAGTATTCTTTGGACGTTATTTTTTGTGTACTAATTAAACACCAAAAGACGAGTAAGAAAATTACTTATTTTTTACGAATATATATATATTTCATGAAAAACATTTTCGTTCATATTAAACACATCCCAATTGTAATTCATATTGTTAAATAGATCACTACATTAAAAATGATTTTTAGAGGCAATTAATTAACGACAATAGCTCAATTGCCACTAAATATGTAATTTTAGCAGCAATTAACACTCTTTGTATATGTCCCTAAAGCCTTTAGCGACACTGAATCTAATGACACTTAACTAATGCCGGTAAAGACTTTAATACTCTGTATTAATATGTCTATTTATTGCCGCTAAAAGTTATAGTGGATGTATTATTATTACAAAGGGAGTATCTAATTTTTGGTTTTTAATTCCACAGTTATCCTCAACTGCTGACAAGCATGATGAAATCGACTTCGAGTTTCTAGGAAATATATCAGGGCAACCATATATTATACACACAAATATATTTACTCAAGGTGCAGGAGGCAGGGAACAACAATTTTATCCATGGTTTGATCCAACTGCTGATTACCATAACTATACCATTCATTGGAACCCCAATGCAGTCGTGTAAGTTGAACACTCTTTATCAGAAACTTACATATACATACATATATATGCATATGTTAAATCTTGAACGCTCTTAATAAATTCATGACTTTGCCGCTATTGTCTACCATGGGCATGTATCAACGTCTTTTTACATGATAGGTAGGTTGTATATCTTGATTCATCAGTAGTAGAACGATCAAGGAGATTGAGCGAATGACCTTAAGGATCGTTTTAGAAATAACACATATTTACTAGCCTAGCAACTCAAAGCGAAGTTGAACTTCATCCACTGATTAACTAACGGGCCCACCAAGCAAGGGTACATTATTAAGTGGTAGTAATCAATTTAGATAATTGATTTTCCTCTTCATTTTCTATATATCAGGATAATTAACCAATGTGATATGCTTTCAATTGAATCCACATTTTCAACTTGAATATAGATATCTACTATGTAATAAGTTGTTAATATTGAAATGCCAATAAATATTAAATTTTGAACTCATAACTATAAAAGTGAAATAGATTTGTAGTAAGAACCTTAAATATTAAATGAAGCATTGGTTGAGTCAATTCTTGACTAATGTTTATTTATTTATGTTGTAGATGGTACGTTGACGATATACCAATTAGAGTTTACAAAAACTATCAGAGCCAAGGCATTCCCTATCCGAACACGCAAGCAATGGGGTCTACTCTAGCCTTTGGAATGCTGATAGTTGGGCAACTAGAGGTGGTCTTGTCAAATGTGACTGGACCAATGCTCCATTTATAGCAAAGTACCGAAATTTCGTCCCACGGGCGTGTGCTTGGAACGGACCCATTAGCATTAGTCAATGTGCAGCTCAAACTCCAAATAATTGGTATACTGCTCCTGAGTACAATCAATTGAGTTACGCAAAACAAGGTCAAATGGAATGGGTTAGGAACAATTACATGATTTATGATTATTGCAAAGATACAAAGCGATTCAATGGACAATTTCCTGGAGAGTGTTTTAAACCTCAATTCTAACAAATGAAATTGAGTCCAATATATAGATACAAATGAGATGTATTTTGATACATATACTCTTGATTTTTTTGTTGTAATTTATTCTGTTCTTTTTTCTTTCCCTTGTTTTGCCAAGAAATTATACCCAATTCTTTTGATAAAATGTTGTTTTGATTGTAATATTTGTTCTTTGGAAAGTTTATTATGTATACCATTTGACCAAGATAAATAATTAAAGGAAGTATTGATGATAATGCAAAATTCAGTATACTGACTTCTTCTAGACTGATTTATGCAAATGTTCCTTTTAGATTCTTCACTTAGATTTTGTCTCTATTTTAAGAAGTTAGGTAAATATGGCTTTTCATACTTACCAATAAGGATGAGATAATTTTAGATTATATATCATCTAAAGTTTCATTTACAAATTTTTAGACCGCTCATTGAAAATGTCCATTAATTGTAAGAAATATAAAAAAGAGGGGACTATTTGCTAAATAGCTATTTTAAAAAGGGTAAGTAGTGACAATTTCTTTCTTTTAGTTCGAGGCGAATCTAACATTTACGCTTAATAGGTTTAAGATCCAAAATTCTTTATAAAGGTTGGTTTTTCAAGGCTTTACAAACACACAGAGATAGTTTATACTCACCAAAAAGGGTTTCAATTATATTCTAAATTCACCCCGTCGCTCCACCTCGATTTTTCCAAAAATCGAATCCTCAAAATGGCTGATAAGGAATCTAAAATTTATTTGCTATTATGGAGCGGAGAAAGAAGAATGAGTTGTCGCTTGTAATGGTATTTCAAGGTGGTGGAAAAGACAAGGGTGGGGTCACGATGATTGATGACGATTTTAGGACGAACGGGGTGGCGTCACGAGTGATTGATGGCGATTTTAGGACGGACTAGAGGTGGCGTCATGGGTGATTGATGGCAATTTTAGGACGGACTAGGGGTGGCGTCACGTGTGATTGATAGCGATTTTAGGATGGACCAGGGGTGGCGTCACAGGTGATTGATGGCGATTTTAGGACGAACCAGGGGTGGCGTCACAGGTGATTGATGGCGATTTTAGGACGGACTAGGGTTGGCGTCGATGAAGAGGTCACCATCACATGGGCGGATTTAGGAGGGGCCAGGGTGTTTGTCCAAATTCCCTCTGCAAAAAATTACCTTGTATATCCTGACCAACTCGTAAGTAGCATCCTACTGATGGTCACGGGGCATAAAAAACAAGTCTTTTTGGTTTACCCCATTGACCTTTTTCTAAAAGCACCTTGGGTCGGAGGCCGAATATAAAGTAAAAAAAAAGTGGTGCCCTTTCAAATTCAATTTGTTTTGATATAAAGAACCAAAATTGGTCCATGATCGTATCATTTTTCAACTATCCGCTGGTAAATCTGGTTTAGCGCCAGTATAGAAAGGAGTAAATGATGAGTGAAATTTTAGGGTTTGACTATACTTGTAATGCATTTAGGATCATATAGTTCAAAATTAGATCATTTAAATCGTTGACCGCCATACCATATCATTTTTTTCCATTTATATATATTTTCATGATTATGAACTAATATTACCACCTCTAAACAAAGGTTCTCCTATCGATCACCACCAAATTAGGTATAGATTAAACACAAAAATACAAGTTTCATTCTTTATTATTAAACAGTTGAACGGGTACAACCTCTGAGGTAGAGTAAGATCTACATACACTTTATCATTTTCATATCATATTTTACGAAATTAAGGTCCGCATACATTTTATCATTTTCGTATCCTACTTTATGGAATTAAGGTCTGCATATATATTACACTTTATTATTTTCATATTACGAAATTATACTGAATATGTTGTTGTCGTCGTACGACGAACCAAGGCAAGGCCCAAATCCTTAACCAAACTACAACCCATTGTTCCAATGGGCCACAAAGTCAAATTGCAAAGAAAATCATCCACAATTTAGTCATCCACGTGGAACCTTTATCCTCTTTTCTCATTTGCTCTAGTGAAACCGTAACGTAATCACACAGCAAATATATACACACAAAATAATACTCTCTCTGTTATCCCTAACCCCCCCACCCCCCGAAACTCTTCTCCGCCGACTTTTGTTTTCTTCACCGGAAAATCTTCGAGTTCTTCGCCGGTGTTATTTGCTTCGATTACAACTCCGTTTTCTTCTTCTTCAATCAAATCTGTGTGTGATTGCTGTTTGCGCCGTCGCCGAATCTTCAAAAGAGTTTTCGGTTTTTTTTCATGATCTGTGAAGAGTCTGATCTGATCTAAGCCGTCGATCTGAGATATGGATAGGATCGTCGGAGGTAAATTCAAGCTCGGACGAAAAATCGGTAGTGGATCTTTTGGTGAAATTTTTCTCGGTAAGTGTTATTTGTCAAGGTAGCAAAGTGTATGTGTTTTGAGCTTGTATTTTTTTTTGTTTTTTTGTTTTACAGAGTTTGTGGTGAGTTTTATAATGATCATGTGTGAATTTTGTAATTTTGCAGCTACGCATATTGATTCATTTGAGATCGTCGCTGTCAAAATTGTGAGTTTTTATTAGCTTGAGCTATGAATTTTATTGACTTTTTTTTTTTTTTTTGTGAGTGATTGGTTTTCATGTTGTATGTGCTTTGTGCATCAGAAAATTAACTAGTGAAGTTTATTATAATTGGATCATGCGGTAAACTTTGTACTTGGTGCTTGTAGTGTGTGTGGCTTAGTGGTTAATGAGGTTCAAATTCCAGCAGAGACGATGAGCCAAAAACACTAGGTTAATATGCCTCTGAGATAGAAGATAGCAATGGTTAGAGTCTTTTGGCTGCATGTGATAACTGATACTGCCTCCGTTTTAATTTGTTAGTATTACATCCGTTAAGTTGTTAGTCTTACATCCGTTTCAAAAAGATTTTTTTTTTTCTCTTTTGAGAACTTTTTAATTTCAGTCTTCCACATGGCCACGTTGCTTTGAAAGGTAACGGATGGAGCATTTTGGGAAAGTGGTGTCAAGAGGAAAACTTAAAATAGTATTGATCAACAATTCTTAACACAAGTTAAAGCCTTGTCTACTTGGTATAGTTAATTTTGTTAATTAGAAGAGGTCTAGGGTTCTATTCTATATAACCACAACCTTTTTAACAATGAATGCAACATGCTAAACTAGTTTTAGAAAATGAACCCAATGGGATTCGAACTTGCGTTGCAAGGAGTAAAAGCTTAGCTTTAAGCACAAGTGCCTTGAGCTCCGTTGTTTCTCTGGGTGCCACACTTAATGCTTTTACAATTCCTTATACATATATATGGGTATACATATATGTACAAAGCTTCAAGCAAGACATCCGTGTGTTGTGGCACCCCCAACCCTTCTACATAGATCCTCCTCGGCACAAGATTAAAGGATATCTTGGTACATTCTACATATCTTTAATTTAAGATCACAAATTCAAAATTCTTCTTTATTTTCTTAATGTCTAGTTAATACCAAACAAACAAATTGAAACAGAGTGAGTTATTAAATAGTGTGTTTATCACATAACATTAAAAGCGATTCTCTGCGCCTTTCAAATACTTCTCGTTTTGGTTATGGCCTCGAACAAATCGCTAAATTTCCCATATTACAACATGTTTCAATTTCAAAAATAAAATAAAATTAGATATAAGTATGCATTCTTCCTAGTCTAAATCATTTAATTTCTCAGTCGGGCACTCGAATTTCATTGATTGCAATTATATTGTGACCATGTTGAATTATTTTTGCACTTCCTTTACTGTTTCTTCTTTTTCGCCTTTGACTGTCTATTTGCATTCTTAGTATCTTTTTAATTACTTTTAATATTACGCGGGGTTCACATCTTGGTAGGATCTAACACTACAGGTTCCTTTCTCTACCAAAACTTTTTGTAGGAGAACAATAAGACCAAACATCCTCAACTTCTCTACGAGGCCAAGTTATACAATATTCTCCAGGGAGGAAGTATGTTTTGGATATTGTGCACTTTATGGATAGATATACAGATTATGGTGTAATTTATAGTTTGCTCCTTTCTAGGTGGTGTACCACATATAAAATGGTCTGGTGTGGATGGTGATGACAATGTTCTGGTCATGGATTTGTTGGGTCCTAGCTTGGAAGATCTCTTTGTCTATTGTGACCGGAAGCTTTCATTGAAGACTGTTTTAATGTTGGCTGACCAGATGGTAACAGCAGTTTCCCTTCAACACTTTATAATGTTCATGCTACTGTGTTTCTGTTTGATAAGAGCTTTACGTCATGTCAAAGGCGTAGCTAAGGTATACCACTTTGACTTTGGCCCATGTTCCATGATAGGTGGAAGCTTGTTCCAGATTTTGATCAGGTGAAATGGAACAAGGGTCTTTGTTTAGGAACATGACCCATCGGCCAATTAGTTGCTTTTTCTACATATTGGACTTTCTCTCCCTTTGATATTCTTATCCATTGTGGCTCTCAGCAATTATGTTGACTTAATATTTTCAGGATACAGACTAATAGAGCTGCACCAAAGTTTTGTTTTGTTCTCTCTGATTTTTTCGTCAGTGATTTTTCATGACACATAGATATTGGAGAACTATTATATTTTAATATATACTTATTGGTAAATATTTAGGACCTTTGGAATGCATTGCGAGAGTGTTTTACCAACATGGTCACTTTTTTATAAAAAAATACTTGCTGTTTTCCTTATTAGCAGCTTGGCTGATCAGGTTCTTCTGCCTCTCCTTTTCTCAGATTACCAGAATCGAATATGTACATTCTAAGGGCTTTCTACACAGGGATATTAAGCCTGACAACTTTCTGATGGGTCTTGGTCGGAAAGCAAATCAGGTGACTTTCTTTCGTTCTCTTTTTAGTTTTTATTGGTTTATTAGTTAGTTTGCTGTTTCTTTTCTTCTGATTGAATCCTATTGTTATTATGTAATGTTCAGGTTTATATTATTGATTTTGGTCTTGCTAAAAGATACCGTGATGCGACTACAAATCGCCATATTCCTTACAGGTATAAGTTTTTGAATATGCTAATCTGAACTTTTTTCATCATTTATCATTTAGCTTTAAGCTTCCAATTGTGTACTCATAAGTGTAATGTCTGATTCTAATTTTGTTTGGTTAAAACTTAGAAGAGAGAACATTGATCATTTCTTAGATGCAGAGTTATGGATCTAATTTTAATATCTTTTCTTCTGTACAGAGAGAACAAAAATTTAACTGGAACAGCACGCTATGCCAGTTGTAATACTCATCTCGGAATTGGTCAGAGCAGATACTCTTTTCCTTGATTGTTTTTCTCTCCCCATCGTAAAACCCGTAAAGTATTTGGCAAGGAAAATAATTAACCTTTATTCCTGCCTGTGAAGAAGAGGGTTATTAAAATAAAATATGTCTTAACATTTCAATGTCCTCTTTATGTTATACAGAGCAAAGCCGGCGGGATGATTTAGAATCTCTTGGATATGTTCTCCTTTATTTCTTGAGAGGCAGGTGTGTGGTTTTTCAATTAGATTAAACCTTTTTATTCCTTGGTCCTTATACATGCACATATGTATCAAATATTCTTTTGACCAACATATTGGTTCTTCAATAGCCTCCCATGGCAGGGTCTAAAAGCTGCCACAAAGAAGCAAAAGTATGACAAAATATGTCAAAAGAAGTTATCAACTCCTATTGAGGCATGTGTACCTGAATAGCTTCCCTTGCCACTGCTCCTTCTGTCTCTTATTTTTTAAAACAATAGGTTCTTATTCTGACTCTTTTGTACTATTTCCTGGTGAAGGTTTTATGCAAGTCTCATCCTGTTGAGTTTGCTTCGTACTTCCATTACTGTCATTCATTGACATTTGATCAGCGACCTGATTATGGATTCTTAAAGCGCCTCTTTCGTGAACTTTTTACCCGTCAAGGTATGCCTAAAGTCAAGCTTCATCAACTCCTTGGACAATACCAGGGTTCTTTAATAAATACCCTCCTGAGTACATTGAAATCTCTCTGCAGAAGTTCAACTGATGTACATCTATGTGTCACGCAGGATATGAATTTGATTACATATTTGATTGGACCATCCTAAAGTACCAACAGGCACAAACAAGTAAATCACAGCATCGGGTATCTTTTTTAGCTTGTCCTGTTTCCTGAATTCATTTTAATTATGATTAATCACTTCTCAACTTGATGGCATGCTATAATTTGAGCTTGTACTTTTCTTCTTGTTCCTTAAATGAACAAGCTTAATAGTACAACTTTTTAGTCAAGGCTTGCTTCATGAGCTGCTTTTAATCAAAATTTTGACTGTTCTGTGATTTTGCAGCAAGTTGGTGGTGAAAGTAGCCGAGCAATTCCAATGGATGTTGAAAAGCGTCAAGGTTGATAACTAAAACTCTTGGAAATTTCTATTTCTACGAATGAGGAGAACTATGTAGTACTTTAAAAAGCGAAAGATGTTATTTTTTGTGAGTTGTGAATATGGTTTACATCCATTCTACCTGCACAAAATGGTTTCCTTTATTCTGGGTTGAGTGCTTATAATCCAGCAGTAAAGTGTATGCAGACTTGCTTTATCAAAAAGTGTATGCAGACTTGCAGATAAATTAAGAGAAGACTTGAGATAGAAGTATGCTAGTAGAAAACATACTTCAATTTTGTTTTGGATGTCATGTTAATTTCTGTTGATGTAATTAGGTTAAATCAGCTGAACTGTTCCTTCTACAGTTTCTACAGGCAACAATGGACCTTATGTTGCTGAGGTGACTGATCGCATAAGGCCGAATAATCCTTCCAGTCCTGGAATTCGGATGCAATTTAAGTCACCAACAAACAGGAATTTAACTTCCGCCAATCTTGAGAGAAATGTGAGTGATACTTCTGCCAATCTTTTGATAGCCTTGTTTCAGATAAAGCATTTTTCGCATTAAGCATTGGCTATTTACCATGTCTCATTATTAGTCTTCTTCCTATTATCTCAGCCCAAGTAGGCTTCTCACTAATTTCCCTTTCATAATGTAGGTATTAAGTAGTGCTCATATGCCATCTTCTTCATTGGCTCCTGTTTTACCAAGAGCAAATGCCACAAAACCTGTTTTACCCACTGAAACAACACATGATGGTGATAATGGAGGCAGCAGCTGGATGTCCTCCTTGCGACGTATTTCTTCTGCAAAGTGATAAAAAGGTTCTCTTCTTTCTCTACTTCATGTTTCTATGGCTATGCTTTGGGGTCAGGTGGCACATTATTAGACATCACAATTATAATTGTGAATAAGAAGCATTTCTATTCATGATGACAAAGATCCTTTCTTCCCTTTTCAGGATAAGATGAAGATGAAGTTGGGGCTAATGTGCCTTCAAATTGGACAGCTCATACTTATTTTTTTATTACAAGCTGGTTCGGATGACTATGGTGGCTGATCATGGCCTGCTGCAATTTCATGAGTTCAAGAGGGTGGTGTGAATTGAGCTGGACATGAAAGCAGATGGCAGCTGTTTGTCTATCTATGGGAGCTCGGGTTAGATATTTTTCCTAAGATGACTATAAACAAATTGGTCCATCCTTGCATTAAGATCAGGATGGTTCCTGTCCGCTGAAAAAATGAAGCACTAGAGACATCTTTATCTCCTAATGTAAAATAGATCATATGCGATTGTCAAAAATTGTGCAGTTCCTTTTGTGCATACAGTGGTGGTTATTTTCTTCACTTGCTTCTTTACTTGCAAAGTTGCATGTGTTGTAATCTTTATTGCTTAATTTTGTGGTGAGCCAATGGTTTGTTGCAAACATGTTGATAATGGAATTGGATCTAGTACAGCAATGAAATTTTTGATTAGTTTGGAAATGTGATATACAAATGAAAACACGTTCTGTGTTCTCATCAGAAGGATTGTGAAGTTTGATGTACAGATTGATTTATGGACTTTTCTTTCTCCACCACTCATCCCACTCTTACATTAAAGTCTTATCGCTCTTTTGAATCCTGTTTCCATCTGGCCAATAGGTGAGTTTGCCACCAGGTAATGTTTTGTTGTTAGTTTTGATTTGGTAATTTCCTGTGAGTTGATGGTCTGATTTGCTCGAGATGATTTCCCTATTAACAATAAGCAGTTTTGACCTCCCTTATATGTGCTTAGGCTGGCATATGTACTGTGACTAGCCTTCACACTTTCTTTTAAAACAAGAAGACTAGATTCCAAATTTTTCTGTTAAACATATTGTCCGTTGGCTATTGATCAAGTTATTTGCAATCAGCTTCTCAATTATTGTCATCCTTTTGCAATTTGCAGGACCCGTGAGATGTGGTTTCTGTCGGTGTAATGGTTCCCTTGGATTCAATCAACTCCAGAAGAAGAGGAACTAGTGATTGCGTTGTTTGGTTTGTTGATTGTGCGAGGGATCAAGTATGTAATGGACAAGTATTCACTGGTTCCTTGGTTGTACCATTCTGCCTGAGCTTATATTCCTGGTCTCAAGTGTCTTTGCTTCTAGACTTGCTAGGTTCGCGATGAAATCATGCTGAAAAACTTTTTGCCTTTGCAACTGTGATCGAGTAATGAAGCTAGCCTCCGAATGACTGACGTATGAACTGAATATCTAGTCCTGTTGGACTTGTCAGGACTTGAGACTGGGAGTTTCGACACCCAAAGTTCGTGCTGATTTCGTTTTCAGCGAGGCTATGGTGCTGGAAGAATATTTGGTTACACATTTAAGTCCCAGGTTATATATTAATCAGTAAGTGTCCGTCTAGCATTGAAATATTCCTCTCATTATTTGCATAACCAAGAATATTTAGTTACGCATCTAATTTTTCTATAGTCGAATGTCAGTAGCGGCAAAAATAAATTTATTACTTTATAAAGCGACATATTTGAATTATTAATCTTCAGTTTATTTTTCATATTACTCCATTACGTTAGTTTTTATTTTAATTGAAGTGTGAGTAAATCGTCTATAAATTCACCCTTTTCCTTTCTAAAATGTGTAACTGTCTAGAATTAGAGGGATAAATAAATACATGAAAAATTAATGTATTAACCTATTATAAGGAAATGAAAAAAAGTAAAAAAAATAAGTAGAGCATATATCTAAATAAAAATGTTGAAGTATTTAACGAGCAATTATTCAAAAGCGAAATTTGATAAATTGTTTTCAGAGGCTTCGAATTATTGAAAACAAGTTAAATGGGAAAATGAAAAACAAAATCCAAAAGAAAGGAGCAATTCTTTTTTAGATAATTTAATTCAAGATAAGTGTTATGTCACTCGTTTAAGAGCAGCCTACCAATAATCTCCATTAACTCGATAACGTAAAATATAATTTAAACTCAATGGGAAAATGTAAATAACTTGTATTAAAAAAAAGGTGAATTATTGTAATTTTTATTGGATTTATATTTAACCTTCTTTCATAAAAAAATAAAAAAAATGGCGCCAATAGGTAGTTATGTTAGTTAACGTATATATAAATCATTTTAAAGCCGCCATTAAAATACAATTTGGAGAAATCTCATATATATATATATAATCTCCAAGAAACTTCACATTTCCTTATAATTCAAATTACTATAGTTTTTTTCTTCACAGTCATCAAAACTACTTTCTGAGATTTTTCAGAGCTTCAAGAAAAAGTCGAATCATGGCGAAAACACCAGAGAAGGAGGAGGAAAGAAAGGGAAATGCTCCATTGATGAACCTTCCTGTTCTTGAAGAAGAAACAGAGGGCAAAAAAATGGAATCAGAAATTCCAGAAAGAGCTTTTTTGTCTGACTTTCCGAAGAAATCAAGAACCCCGCGAATCAAAAAGGCAGGAAGTTGTACTAAATTGGCAAAACTAGAATCTGGGCATGAAAAAAATCACAGTGCTTCATTGGAAAAACACATCATTAATCTTGATGACAACGACGAAGAAGAAGAAGCGTTGGAGACCCAAATTGATAAAAAAATTGATTCATCACACTGGAGAAGTAGCTTTAATGTGAAAAATCAGAGTGGTTCAGTGAAAAAAAACACTATTCTTGATGACGACAACGAAGAAGAAGAAGAAGAAGAAGAAGAAGAAGAAGAAAAAGAGTTGGAGACCCAAATTGCAGAAAAATACTTGGGTTTGAAAAATAAGAGTGCTTTAGGGAAAATGAACACCATTCTTGGTGAAGAAGAAGAGTTGGAGAAAATGGGATCAAAAAGAAGAAATCTTGATGGTGAATCAACAACCCCACAGACCCAAATCGTACAAAATTCAAAAATTGGTTACAGCATTGATGGGAAAAAGTTACCAAAACCAGAATTTGGTTACAGCATTGATGGAGAAAAGTTATCAGAACGCCCCCAAATTGAGGAAATACTCGATATTATTGGAGATTGCAGTAAGCCTTTTGAGAAAAAGCTGTTAAAATATGAAGTTGACAGGATTTCATTTCACAGAAATGATGTGAAAAATGGAATTCTTCCGTATCTGAACGAAGATGAAACTGTCAAGCTTCAAAAGGAGGGGATTCTAGTGAGCACTTACGATGAATTTGGGAATCGTTATGAGATGAAATTCGAGTCGTATAATAATAGTTTCTACAAGCTTTGCAATGGATGGAAAAGGTTGTATAAATATCATGGACTGCAGGAAAAAGAAGATTGTTACGTTGATGTTTGGATGTTTCGACATAAAGAAAATGATGGAATATGTTTTGCTGTGATTCTGAAGAGGTAAAAGTTCTTTTGATTAGTAGTTAATCATTGTCATTAGAGTTAATCTTGATGAATTAGAGTCTTGTTAATGTCTTTTGCAGTAAAAGTTCTTTTGATTAGTAGTTAATCATTGACATTAGTGTTAATCTTGAGGAATTGGAGTCTTGTTAACGTCTTTTGCAGTAAAAGTTCAGTTCTTTTTTTAGTATTGTATGAATGTAAAAAGCAGAAGTATATTGGAGTAGTTGCTTTTACATGAATGGCTTTAATAGTTGATGTCTTGATATCTTTGTGAATGAGTTCAAGAATGAACGTTGATATTTGATTGCAATGAACGTTGGGCAGCAACTTGAGAAACGCAATATTTGATGTGTCTTGATATCTTTGTGAATATGATATTCAAAATATCCAAGAAGTTTATGTGATTTCGAGATGTGAGGTTGAATTAGAGACTTAATGATTTGTGTTAGTATATTTTTTTTAATTAATCTTTGATTAGTTGTTAATCACTTTCATTAGTGTTAATCTTTTTTTAAGATGAGTTTGTTCCATAGTCGAGATAAAATCGCGGAATAACTCGTTTCGAAGTCAGTAATCCCAGGATTGTAGTGTACCAAACGAGAACTAACAATATAACATGCATCATACAATCTTGGTGTTATTGCTTATCAATCAGCATGACCTTATATGCCTAGGTGTCCAACTAATTATTACTAATACCTTTCCGAGTTGTTTGATTGAGAACAAGTTATCTCGAAATATATAATAATGACATGATTATAATAATTGATTAAATAATGATGATTATACTCTTACTAGTAAATATTTGATTTAATACGGTATTTAAGAGAAAAATTAAGACTTTTGAAATTTGTGGTCCAAAACAATTTTTAGATATTTGTATGGTTGCATTAAGTGTAAAGAAATTTTTTTAAAGTTAAATTATTTCTAATTATAAGGTGGCATTCTTTTTGGGACAGACTAAAAAAAAAGTGTCACATAAACCGCAACGGAGCGAGTATTAGTTATACATATATTCCTTCCTCGTATATAAAATTGGTTGCTTGAATAGTTAACAGTCTCTACCTCCAACTCTGAATACTTGCAACTTCGAGTCACCAAGAAAAATATAAAATCTCATATCTTATTTTAAATTTCAAAAATTCTACATATATTTTAAGAGTATTTTCTGTTTGAAGATATCGACCCGATAACATAAAATGTAAAATTACTTAATTTATAAAAATGAAAGGTGAATTATTGTAGTAATTCTTATTGGATTTATTATCTAACTCAAATTGGTTCTTTCACAAAATTGAATAAAAATGGCGTCAATAGGTGGTTAGGTTAGTTAACCATTTTACAACCGCAATTAAAATAATTTGGATATATATATTCTCCAAGAAACTTGGCATATTTCCTTATAATTGAAATTGTTGTCCATCTTGTATTTTTAAGATACTTAGAACAAAAAAACTTGATAAGAAACAACAAAGTTTAAAGAGCATTTTCAAAACTAGAAAATTAAAACCAGTAGAGAAAATAGAATCAGAAACAGATTAGAAACAATATACAAAATATTTTTCTCAAAGAAGAAAATCGAGCCCACTGAATGCACAGTGTCCCTTTAAGGAAATTATTCCCCTCAAATATCCGAGGTTAATGGAATATATCTTCCCAGGATAGAATGATCTTACTTACCAGTGTATCGGTACCTAAAACACGGTGTCAGCAAACCACTCAACGGCAGTAAAGTACACTTAGAATACTAGATTTAGTAATAGTAGAAGAAGTCAAGAAAATTCATTCTCTTAAAATGAGAGGAAACCCTCTATTTATAGACAACAAAACGTAGTGTGAATAGATGCTTATTGTGTCTTATCGGAAAGGTCACAACCCCTTGAAAAAGGTCACAATCTTTCGGAATGGTCATAACCTTTCATAAAAGTCAAAACTCTTCATAAAAATCACAACTTTTCATAAAAGTCGCAACTCTTCATTTTCCTTTTAAAACCAAACAATATTTCCTTATAATTGAAATTAGTATATAGTTTTTCTTGTTCAGAGTCACAAGAAGTAGTTTCTAAATAATTTATCTCAGAACTAATGTCCTCCAGTTCCAATAAGATAACCAGTCGAATTACTAGTGCATTATATGCTCAAACTCTGTCTTAATGCTCGACGATTACATGCACTCCTATTCTCCATTTACAATTTTTGTTCATCAAATAATGATATGATTATTGGACGATTGCATCTTTTTAGCTGTTATAATATAATTTAACTGTCACACTAAAAATAAAAATCAAAATAAGCTATTAAATAATTGTTTAGTATATTCATATCACAAGTAGGAAAGCAAAATCTTATTAATGTCCAAATAGGATTTGTACGTTTATAAATAGACTTATAATTTGGACAAAATAAATTAAGACAAGATGGATTCATTGTTGGTATCAAACCCTAGAAACAATATTCCTCATGATATCATTATTGATATACTCACACAACTTCCAGTGAAATCACTTATCAGACTCAGAGACGTTTGCAAATCATGGTATTCGTTAATTAAAGATGACAACTTCATCAAGCAACACTATAATACTCACCAAAATTGTCAAAAGTACTTTGTGGTTTGTAGAAGACACAAGATTTTCACCCACTACACCATAGAACTTGATTCTAATAGTATAGCCTCTCTTGTTGAGCCTCCGGTTCCAACTGATCAATCACGAAAGGCATTCAATGAAATACAATATTCCTCATGTAATGGGATACTTCTTATAACATTTAGAGTGTTTAGTATTTGTACTTTTCTTGTAAGCAGTTGATGTTTGATTGCTATGAATGTCAGGCAGCAACTTTGAGAAACACGATATTTGATGTCTTGATCTCTTTGTGAATATGATATTTAGAATATCTGACAAGCTTTTAACTGTGTGTTTTTCAATGTTTGTACCTCACAGTTGTTTAGATAGTCCACCATTCATGATCAATGAGTAACTCAGAGTTGTACAAATTTGAGCAGGAAACCAAACTGAATCAAAACCATTTTTAGAAAAGTCCATTTCGACTGAGTTGTATGCCTTTCTGATATCTATATTTACCATACAATGCCAAGACACGTCTTCGCATTACTAACCTCCTCCTCTGTAATTGGTGAGGCAGGGGCCATCTCTAGCTACCTCTGGGACTTGTGTGGCCTTAATTAGTTCCCAATAAATAATTGGAGGAATGCATTCTGAATCTGTCTATGTATTTCTCCCTGATCATTGCAGATGGTAGATATTCTATTTCGTGCCTGTCTTGATTTAAGGAAAGCATGGAAGAAGTTTGTATTCGGCTATACAGATCCCTGGATTTTTGTCCAAGTAGTCGTTCATGAATGTTTGACCATTTCTCCAGTTTCAGTGTTATCTCCCTTTCTTGGTTGATGGTCCGAGTAGAGCTGATTCTGGGTGCTCTTCAACCAGTTACCTCCTTAGTCATTTACCTGGCTCCTTTACTAATAAACTTTAGCTTCATTCATTGTGATACCAGCATGCTTGTTCTGTTCAAGAAATTGTATTACATTCATTTTTGTCTTACCTTTAAGCTTTATTTTGACAAGTTCCTCTGAGTTACCTCAGGCCTTGCTTGCCATTCCTGTCTAGATTTGATGTGCCTGGTTTAGAGGGCATGGTGATCAATTTGCAGTCAGTCAGTCAGTCTTGGCAAAACTTGAGAGTTTAGAGGAAGATGTTTGCAGCCATCCATTTGTGCTTCCCGCAACAATTTTTTAGTGGAGACACGGGATCCCCTTGCCTTAGTCCTCTTTTCCCCGCAAAATAACCTTGACAGTGAAATAGGGGGAGGTCATTACAATACTCAGCAGGAAATCAATATCCTACCAGTACTTGCTGTAAGAAATCCCAATCAACCATGTCATAAGCTTTCCTCAAATCAATCTTCATCAAACATCTAATTTCATCAAATCAATCTTCATCAAACATATTCTGGCATTGCTTAGAGTAAGCATACCTTTTCCAAATATTCCACCTACGTTTTAAGGAGTTTTTACTTGAACATATTGACCCGATAAAATAAAATGTAATTTAAAATCGATGGGAAAATGAAAATTACTTATATAAAAAGTTAAGCTCAGAATTACTGGATTTATTATCCAACTCTTCTTTCACAAAAAAAAAAAAAAAAAAGTTAAAAAATGGCGCCAAATAGGTAGTTATGTTAGTTAATGCATATATAAACCATTTCTAGCTTCAAGAAAAGGTGTAATTTCCCTATATTTGAAATTACTATATAATTTGACTTTTTTTTTTAACCTAAATAAAGCATGGCTATAGTTATTGTAAATTAATTTTATTTTTTTTATATATATATATATTTGAAACTAGCCCAATTGTATTTAGAGGCATAGAATTTTTTAAAACAAGTTAAATAGGAAAACAACAAATAGAAATCCAAAAGATTGGAAGAAATTTTTAGATAATTTATTCTAAGATAGGTGTTACGTCACTCTTTTAAGATCAGAATTTTATAGATACAACTTATTCCTAATACATAAAAGGTGTATCTCAAATAGTTAACTGTCTCCACCTCCAACTCTGAGTCCTTGTGACTTCAAGGAACCAAGAAAACAAAAAATAAAATTAAAAAATCTCATATCTTATTTTAAATTTTAAAAATTCTACATATATTTTAAGGATTCATTGTTTGAAGATATTGACCAGATAACATAAAATGTAAAATTACTTAATTTATAAAAATTAAAGGTGAATTATTGTAGTAATTCTTATTGGATTTATCATCTAACTCTAATTGCTTCTTTCACAAAAAATAAATAAAAAAATGGCGCCAATAGGTAGTTAAGTTAGTTAACCATTTTAAAACCGCCATTAAAATACAAATAGGAGAAAGCTCATATATATATATATATATATGATATATTGTCCAAGAAACTTCACATATTTCCTTATTATCGAAATTACTATATAGTTTTTCAGAGCCATTGAAACTACTTTCTGAGATTCAAGAAAAGGTGTAAATATGGCAAAAACACCAGAGAAGGAGGAGGAAATAAAGCAAAATGCTAAAAGGAAACATTCTCTTGTTGAAGAAGAAGAAACAGAGGCCAAGAAAATGAGTTCAGAAACAGCTTTTCAGCTGAAATCAACCCCACGAACCAAATCACGAGAAAGTTCTGATGAGGAAGAAGAAGAAGAGGACAAGAAAATGAAATCAGAAACAATTTTTCCTGGTGAATATTCAGAAATCAAATTCCCAGAAACTTCTGAATTGGTAAATGCACGATTTGGGGATGAAAAAAATCAGAGTGCTTCATTGGAAAAAATTGATGAAGAAGAAGAAGAAGAAACAGATGATGATGAAGAAGAAGAAGATGAAGAGGAAGAAGATGATGAAGAACATGAAGAAGAAGATACAGATGAAGACGAAGTTTCATTTCCAGGATTTGGATACAGCTTTGATGGAGAAATTTTATCAAGATTCCCCGACATAAAGAAAATACTCGGATGTATTGAAGATTGCACTATGCCATTTGAGCAAAAGATAGTGAAAACAGATGTTGACAAGCTTATACTAAGCAGAGATGAGGTGAAAAGTAGAATTTTGCCATTGCTGAAAAAGAGTGAAAAGAGTGATCTTAAAGGCGGGGGAGGAATCGTAGTGAAGGTTTATGATGAATTCGGTAAAAGTTATAAGATGATGTTCAAGTTCATTGATGATCAGTTCATGCTTTGCACTAGATGGAAATATTTGTTCGAAGATCATAAGCTGAATGAAAATGGAGATTGTTATGCTGCAGTTTGGATGTTTCGACACAAAAGATCACGTAAACGATGTTTTGCTGTGATTATGAAGACGTCAAAAACTCAAGATTAGAAGATTCTCATTAGTGTTTCTGCACTTCTTTTAGAGTGTTTCTGCAGATTTCTTTTGATTAGTTGTTAATCACTCTCATTACTGTTTCTGCAGTTTTTTTAGAGTGTTAATGATGCGTTTCTGCAGATTTCTTTTGATTAGTTGTTAATCACTTTCGTTGGTGTTAATCTTGAGAAATTAGAGTCTTGTTAATGTCTAGTGCAGTAAAAGTTTACTTCTTTTGATGAATGTAAAAGGCAGAAATATATTGAACTTTTCTTGTAAGAAGTTGATGTTTGATTGTAATGAAACACAATATTTGATCTCTTTGTGAATGCGATATCCCACAAGTTAATGTGATTACGAGATGATCACGGCAATACTTAATGTCTTTGGGAATACTCAAAAATTTATGGCATATCTGAGATTGAATTAGAGTCTTAATGAAGTGTATCTGCAGTTTTTTTTTTAATTATTAATCTTGATAAGTTGTTAATCACTTTCATTAGTGTTAATCTTGAGGAAACCAACGGATGGAAAACCAATGAATTACACACTAGTGCAAGCTACATCAGTTTGGGATAATTTCGACATCACTAATACTGGTTCTTGGCTGTGATCGCTCAGTGGCCCAATATGGACATGTCAATTTAATTGTAACGCTATCATAAGCAATAAAGTGATATTCATATAACCAGTAGGAAAGCAAAATCCTATTTATGTCCAAATAGGATTTGTATAGTCACGTTTATAAATACATTTGCTACCCTTAGTTATTTGGACAAAATAATGGATTCAGTATTTGTATCAAACCCTAGAAACAATTATTCCGTTCCCCATGATATCATAATTGATATACTCACACAACTTCCTGTGAAATCACTTATAAGGTTCAAACGCGTTTGCAAATCATGGTATTCGTTAATTAAAGATGACAACTTCATCAAGCAACACTATGATACTCACCAAAATTGTCAAAAGTACTTTGTGGTTTGTAGAAGACACAATATTACCACCCACTACACCATAGAACTTGATTCTAATAGTATAGCCTCTCTTGTTGAGCCTCCGGTTCCAATTGATCAATCACGAAAGGCATTCAATGAAATACAGTATTCCTCATGTAATGGGATACTTCTTATAACATACGCTAACGACATAATCATTATGTGGAATCCGGCCACTAGAGAATCAAGAAGAATCCCTCCGAGTAAGAGTGGTGGTCTTTATAATTTTTGCTACTTTCCGAGAATTGAAGGCTACAAAATATTTAGACTAGGACCTGTAGTCTTTAATGGTGACAAGGATGAAATGGATATTGATATATTTTCAACGAAAAGTAACAAGTGGAAAACGGTTGGCATATTTCCTCCAGATTATTATTTCGAAGGTACTATCGTTGTTATGTCAGATGGGATTGTTTATATGATGGCGGAGAGGAAAGAAAATGAAAATTGTACAATATTACGTTTTTGTTTGGACAAGGAAGAATTTCAAGAGGAATTGTTGATTCCAAACACTATATCACCAAGGGGAATAGATGTTGTAGGAGAAAAACTTTGTTTGATTGGGTCATTGGAAGATAATGATAAGATTCGCGTATATTGTTTGTAGATGAAGAAAACAAATTCATGGAATGAGATATTGGCAATTCAATTACCTTTCAAAATTTGTTTGAAACCTTTGAGTTTTATAAAGGATGGAGGCATCATGTTTCAAAACTATATGAGTAAATATGTGTTCAAGGCTTACAATTCAACAACACACAAATTGGAAAAAGTTAATGTAGCTGGAATTGAAGGACTTCACTTCATTCAGGTTGTAACCTACGTCGAAACTTTATCCTCTCCGTTTCTTTAATTGATGCATACTTGGTTCGGATACGTGAAGAGAAGATGTTGTTTCTTTAGAGTGTTAATGATGTGTTTCTGCAGATTTCTTTTGATTAGTTGTTAATCACTTTTGTTAGTGTTAATCTTGAGGAATTAGAATCTTGTTAATGTCTAGTGTAGTAAAAGTTTCAATTGTTTTTTTAGTATTTGTACTTTTCTTGTAAGCAGTTGATGTTTGATTGCAATGAAAGTTATTGAGAAACGCAATATGTGATGTCTTCATCTCTTTGTGAATACAATATTCAAAATATCCCACAAGTTTATGTGATTACAAATTTGACCATTTGTACTTCTATTGTAAAATTTGGTGTTTAAGTTGTTATAACTTGTAACAGCCAGAGAGTGATAGAGTTCCATTTGGGGAAAACTAATTACGGAATTAATCTTAAGATGAGTTTATCTCATGGTTGAGATAAAATCGCGGAATAACTTATTTCAAAGTTAGTAATTCCAGGATTGTAGTGTTATTTTTGTCACACGTTGAGGAATTCTCGAATAACTAATCTCAAAATAACTTATTCTCACAATATAACATGCATGATCCAACCTTGGTGTTATTGCTTATCAATCAGCATGAGTTTAGATGCCTATGTATTCAACTACTAATACCATTAGGAGATCATTTGATTGAGAATAAGTTATTTCGAGATATATAATAATAACATAATTATAATATATGAATTAAATAATGATATGATTATACTCTTAACAGTAAATATTTGATTTATTGGATTACAAATAGAATATACAGGGGTATAGTACATAGCTTACTCCAATTCCTAGAGAAGATCTAAGTTATAAGTTGTAACTTAGTAACTTGTAAGAGCTATAAACTTGGAAAATTGTGTGTATAAGATATAAAAGACGTAGAATTAGGTGATTTTCTAAGTTTTTCGTGTATGTTAGTCAATGAATTTTTTGGTGATATGGTGTTCATGCACTTTTTTTCTAATACTTTTACCGGACCCTCTGTATTGACCTATGAGAACTGTACGTATAGTCTCAGCGTGATTCATGCCATTTTTTTTAGCATTTAAGGGCCACACAACATAAATTAATAAACGATTTTCTCAGTTTTTCGTGTGTGTTAGTCAATGAATTTTTTGGTGATATGATTTTTAGGCACATTTTTTCCAAAATCTTTACAGGACCCTCTATAATGACTTGGGGAATAGTTCATATAGTCTCACCATGAACCATGCCATCTTTTTAATATTTAGGGGCCATACAACAATAAAGGCGATTTTCTCATCGCGCAAAGCTCGGGTAATTTAACTAGTTACTTATATAAAAAAGTCGAGCTGAATTATTGTAAGTTTTATTCTATTTATTATTTAACTCTAATTGCTTCTTTCCCCAAAAGAAATTTAAAAAAATGGCGCCAATAGGTAGTTATGTTAGTTAGCCGTTTTAAAACCGCCATTGAAATAATTTAAAGAAAATTCATATATATATATTCTCCAAATTGCAGGAGAATATCCCCAAATTGGTTACAGCATTGATGGAGAAAAGTTATCAAAATATCCCCAAATTGTGAAAATACGCAATAATATAATTTGATATCTTCATCTCTTTGCGAGTATGATGTTCGTATCCCAAAAGTTTATGTGATTTCGAGATGATCACTTTGGTTTTGAGAAAACTGTCTTTGTGAATACTCAAGAATTTATGGCATATTCGAGGTTGAATTAGAGTGTTAATGATGTGTATCTGTATTTATTTTTTTTGATTCATCTCTGATTAGTTGTTATTAATCACTTTCATTAGTGTTAATCTTTACGAATTAGAGTCTTGTTATTAATGTCTTGTGCAGTAAAAGTTTTGTTCTTTAAGTATTGTATGAACATGATTAAGAAATCGTTTGCTAGAGTGTATTAGCAAAAATTATGCTCTATATTTTAGTTTATTGGACTACAAATAGAATATATACGGTATCGTACGTAGCTTACTCCGTTTCCTCGAAAAAATATAGGATGAGAGAACATTGAGTCTGTAAGGGATACATATAACATTTTAATCAAATTCGTTATCAACAAAATACAAAGGAACGTTTAGTATATAAAAAAGTAAATTTTAAATTTAGTGACACGTTTTAAAGTCATAAAGGTTAAAAGTGATAGACTTGACTTGCCTAGAAACGAAAAATAAAGGTGAATTAGTCCCCAAGGGACTCTATCTCTACCTCCTAAGCAAATTCCACAATGTCAAAATACATTTTAAAAAATCATATCATATATTATTAAAAGTGAGAAGGTTTTAGATTCAAAGTTGGATTACGAAAATGTCCTTCACTAATTTTTTTAATTAAAATTCTTTTATTAACTTTTAAAGTCAAATCAATAATGACAATTAAACTAGACCAAATACATGGTTAGATGTTACAACTTGTCTTTTCCACTTCTTAATAACTTTAATTGTTAAACTTTTTAGCTTCTACAATTAAACACATTCATTCACAACCTTTCATATACACAATTTTTCTCTTTATAAATTGAATAGAAAATGTTAGTCGATCCATTACACTTTGTATTTCATAATCTTAATATAGTTCTTATGTCAAAAAAATTCATCGGACATTTATTTCTTAATTGATATATTATTTTGCTTAACTTCCTTCATTTTGTATAAAACATAGTGTTAGATATTTGGCAATCATATAATTAAAGTAGGAATCTTCTTCTTTTTTTACCGATAAATATAAGGTATCCCAAATAATTAAAAAGGGAAGCTTTTATCCATACAATCAGAAATTCTTCTGATTTTATTGATCCTGGCAACCTTAGTCTTAGGGTTGTAATAAAGTAATTCTTATATTAGTACTCCCTCCGTCCCTTTTTAGTTGTCCACTTTAGAAATGGCACACAGATTAAGGCAACAATGATTAGCACAGTGAAGTTACAATTTTACCCTTATGACAACTTTTCACTTCAAAATTACAACCACTTATTTGAATTCAAGTGAAATAAATTGGAGGGAAACAACATACACTTTTACAATTTTCAAGAAGTGTAAATAAGGGTATAATAGGAAAAAATTTGTTGTCCTTTCTTGATTTGTCAAAATGGACAACTAAATAGGGACAACTAAAAAAGGAAATATGGACAAGTAAATAGGGACGGAGGGAGTATTGAATTTTAACGAGAAACAACATTTTTACCCATTAAATTTTGTGTAATGCATCAGTTATTCTAAAATTATTTGTATCATTTGAAAACATTTTGTATTAAATAACATGAGATACATGTGCAAGGCACGTGTTCGAAAACTAGTTAAGTAAATAAAAACAAAAAAAAAAATTGGAAACCCAAATAACACGTTTCAAAGTCATAAGTAGGACTTAGGGGTGTTTATGTGTCAATTTGGATCGATTATTGGTCAAAATTAAAATTAAATCAATTTCATCAGTTTTAAAATTATTAAAATCAAACCAAACCAAATATGAATATACATTTATCGGTTTAATTATTATCGATTTCGATTCGATTTGATTCGGTTATTTGGTTATCAATTATACAGAAAAATTAAAAAAAATGATTCCTTCAAAAGGAAAAAAAAAAAAAGACAACAATTCATTCGAAAAAAAAATAGTTAGAACGATTAACATTACAGAACTTTCGGACATTGAATTTACTGTGAATAAATCTTCAAAATTCACCAGTTTGGCCTAGACAAAGAAGAGACAATGACATTCCAATAAAGCTTCAAAATTCACCACTTTGGCCTAGACAAGGAAGAGACAATGACATTCCTAGTCCAACCAAGAACGCTATAGACACATATACGTAAAATCAATAAGAAAATGCTCTCGTATTGGGCGTTTTTGCTTTCATAAATAAATTTTGATGAAAACATATATAAGATATTTAAAATTGTTTAATAAAAAGTATATATTTATGTATGTATAATTATAAAATATATGTATATAATTTGTTGGTTCAGTTCGAATAAGCCCCACAAATTGGCAGATTTATTCAGACCGGACTAAAAAATCTTATTCTTAAATGGGCTCTAAAAATTATAGTCTAACCCTATCAAATCACGGATTAGGTCAAGCCGGCCCAACAGGTCTAATCCATATTGACAGTTCTAAGCATGACCTTAGATGCCTAAATAATACCATTTATTCCGAGATACATATTAATAATTATAGTATATGAATTAAATTATGATGATTATTGGATGATCGTAAATATTTGATTTATTGGATTACAAATAAAATAATTCCTAATATTAGTTGGGGTCCATGTGGGCCCACCCCTCTTACTCTAAAAATAAATAATACGATTAAAATTGAGCATTCAAATCATGGTGAAACTCTCTAAAAAAAATATTCCAAAAATAGAAGAGTTATAATACGACTAAAATTGAGCAGAAACTTGTTGTACAAGTAATCTACTTCTTCTACTTCTTCCAAAAATGAATTTTTCATAGGGTTTCAAAATTGAAATCATGGTGAAACTAGAAAAGGAAGATATTGAAGCCGCATTGCTTCTTTCTTGGTTGAAGTACGTCCCTGTAGAGCCTGAAATTGTGGAGAAATCGAAGAGAAGGCTTCGAAGAATCAAGAAAAATGAAACCCCAGAACTTCAAATTTCGAAAAGTGTGAAAAATTCACCTTCTGCTTCTGGTGCTGGAAACCCAAAAAGGGTTCGACTGTCGAGCAATTTTAATGGCCGTGAAGCTGCTTCTAGTTCTAGAAATTCCAATCCAGTTCCAAAAAGGGGTCGTGTTTTGCCTTCGAATTTACCTGGGTCTTTACCAAAATCCCCCCCAATTGAGAATTTAAGAACCCTAATTGGACAATGCAGTAACCCATTTGTGAAGCAATTGACGAATTCCGATGTGGATGAACATCAAGGTAGGCTCTTACTCAACAATGAATATGTAAGGAAGCAACTTCTCCCATTGTTGAATGAAAAATCTGAAGATCTTACTACTGGTATCAGTGTTAAAACTTTTGATCCAATGGGTAAATATTGCAACATGATATTCAAAACTTGGGGGAATCACAAAACTTATCTGCTTTTAGGAAGCTGGAAACAGTTTGTTCAAGAACATGGATTGAAGGAAAGTGATCGTGTTACTGGTTGGATGTTTCGCCATAGTCGAACTGGTGAGCTCTGTTTTGCTCTAACATGGTGAAAGGAAGACGAAGAACATTTAAAAATGGTAAATAGATTAATCATTAGTGATTAGTGATTGATTAGAGTTGTTTAGTTTTTTATTAGTTGATTATAATCTGGATGGGAAGTTCTAAATTTTGTTTGCTTCTTTACTATTAAAGAGGACAAAGATGAATTTTTCCCATATATATATGAAAAAAATATATATAATTTTAGTTTTTATGTAAGTTGTTAGTTTATATTTTGCATCAAGATTATGTTACTGTTGGGATGTTTTGTTTCGAAAATGATGATATACCCAATGTAATCTCACAAGTGGTTGGATGTTTTGTTTCGATAATGACGATATACCCAATGTAATCTCACAAGTGGTTGGATGTTTTGTTTCAATAATGACGATATACCCAATGTAATCTCACAAATGGGGTGACGTGTACAATAGCTTTAATGACGATATGTCCAATGTAATCTCACAAGTGGGGTGATGTGTACGTATGTGCATAGATTATAGTATTTATGAAAGTTCTTAGTTTAATATTTTGCATAATCCATACACTAATACTGTAGAGTGTGTTACTGTTTAGATGTTTCACTACAAATAATAACATAACTAATGGAAACTCATGCGTAAGATTTGAGGAGGGTGGGGCGTACACAGCCTTACTCTTACCTTATGAAGGTATAGAGGCTTGTCTCCGATAAACTTACATCTACTTATGAATAAGATTTGAGGAGGGTGGGGTGTACGTAGCCTTACTCTTACCTTATGAAGGTATAGAGGCTCGTCTCCTATAAACTTACATCTATCTAATGCCTGCAGAACAATGACACTAATTATTAGAACAAAAGTATTGATTGGACAATTTTTACAATGGAGTTCACTGAACAAAATCAAATTAGGGATGTTAGATATAATGGAAATACACAACAACTCAGTCCCAACTATGCTAATTTTTTTCTGAACTATCGATTTATTTGCTTCTCTACTTTGCTGAGTTTTCCCTGTAAGAAAGGGCAGCATAAATAAGATCAACAAACTTATTACAAGAGGCACGAAGATGTACGATTTTCGCGCTTCTATTCTTCTAATGCTCTGGTGAAGCGACAATTTCTGTAATACAATCCACAAATGCACAATTTAACGCTCTTTTCCGTGGTAGTCTCCTTGTATCGTTTTGGCGAGGATGTAATTTGATGAAGCATCAATGTCCTTGAGATGTTCCGTGTATGCTTAGTATTTTGAGTAATAGTTTACTCCAATTCCTTGAGAAAATCTATATTGTCAACGAAAACCTGCATGTTTTCCGGAGATGTGATTAACTTGCAAATTTAACAAGAGTTTAAAACCTACGATGAGGGCACTAGGGGTAAACGTGTAGTTGTAATGTTAATAGAATTACCGTCTTCCAACCATCAGGGTCTAGGCACGCTGTAATCTTCGTGCTGATACCGGGTAGAGGTCCTGGTTCCCTGGTAATTTTTCCACCACAAAGCTTTATTGCTTCTGCTGTCTTGTACACGTCATCGGTGCCTATAGCTATCTGTTGGGATATGTATAAGTTAGTGAACTAAGACGCAAGGGGCATACCATGATGGTATGCAACCAAGAAAACATGTGACACACTGCTACAGATCTATGGAGTGCTACCTGTGCGTATGCGTTTCCCTTGTCATATTCAGTGACACCATAATTATATGTTAACTCCATCACAGCGCTCGTGTCTTCTGGACCATATCCCAGCATTGCTATTGTATACTGCAAATTCGTAACAGCTTGGTAAGACTATTCTGTATAATAATACACAATGTGATTTCCATCGAATGTCTTCTATATTATATGCTTATTTAGATTGACGGAAGTCACTTCGAATCAAGCCACAAATCAAACTTTTCTTAATGTCTCAAAGTGATCCACAAACTGAAGCACAGTGCCTATAAATTTCAGATTTAACAAATGCTAAACTTTTGTTGGAGTAAATCATAGTCAGTAAAAATTATTGACTCTTCAAATAGTAAATAAGTCAACTTCTTGATTTTTTAAATTTATTGAGATGCAAGTATAACTAAATAAATGCAATCACCTAGACGTATATATTTCTACAATTGCCAGAAAACATTTTCTCAACGATTTACTTAAGCAACACTTGTCATTCTCAGTGCATCTGCAAGTACTAGTCTCAAAGTGATAAAACATCTATAACGTTAAAAGTTTCCATCACCATGAACGAGAATAACAAACTAATCAGAATAGATAGTTAGTTCAATAGGGAAAAGTATTAGATCATGTACAAGTAGTCAAATTGAAGTACTACTACAAAAGAACTTTGGATAATGCACATTCAATAGGACAAAATAGCATGTTTGCACAAAAAGTTGGTCTAATAGGGACTCATATTTTAGCAATGCTACGAGTAAGTCTCAAAATCCGATTTTCTATTAGGAGACGGGTGTGATGCAAGTAATCATTTTCATTCCATCCAGCCACATCTGTAACTGCCATTTCATAAATCAAACACCAAAACATATGGAATTGCATCAGAAAGTTAACCTATCTCCACTATTTTTTTTTCTTCGGGATAAGATAGTCAACCTATCTCCATCATGCTAGCACTTAAATAACAAACAATAAAGTTACACATGCATCCCACTGACTTAGCAATAAGTATTTTGGCTTCCTACACTTGAAATGATTACACTAGATATGTTGACTGTTTTTTTTTTTTAAGTTCACATATTACCTTGTATTCCGGGTTGTCACGTGTGCGAAGAAGCTTCATTCCATAAGCCTGAAGATGAAACAATGTACAGTGAATTTGTGGCTACCAACTGATCCTTGCAGTAGAGCTAATAACAGATCTTCACTAACAGTAAACACAATAGCAATAGTGCTTATGAAGTCACAGTAACTTACGTTCTCATAAAAACTTATGGCACGTTCAAGATCTCCGACTCGAAGCATTACTTGGCATAGGGGTTCGGGTGTTGGACCCCTCTCCAAAAGTTCAAACTTGTAACCATCAGGATCTTCAATAAATGCAATTACAGTCCTTCCCCCTTTAACGGCACCTGGTTCCCTGGTTACTTTCCCTCCCTTAGCCTTTATGAGTTCAACCGTCTTTGAAACCTAATGCACACCCCCACAAGCTGGTAAGTTCTCAAGTATTATGCGCAAGAAAATTGTCAAAGATGCAAAATATGAATACTGATGAACAGGGTTATGCAGGAAATACACATGAATTGCAGAGAACAAACACAAAATGCAATAACAGTTAAGTAAAGAAAGGGCCTAATAGATATGCAAGATCACATGTTCTATATACAAAAAATTGAAATGGTAAAGAAAATAATGTGCTGAAAAGTCTGTTCTGTTCTACGTAAATTTCTTTCACGCTTATATAACACCTTATAAAGAAACTTACATCCTCTACAGCAATTCCAAAATGACCAAATCCAGATCCAATATCATACTGGTCAACTCCATAATCTGGCAGTGCCATAAAACTAAAACATTAGATTCATGACAAGGAGCTTAGAAAAGAGATCATTAAATTCTAAAGCAGCCTTAAACATTTGAGTTGTGTCAAGAAATGAAAGGCAATGGCATAGTGATATGGATAGGAAGCAACTTACTATATGTGAGTTCAATTACAAAATGAGAGTCCTCTGGTCCATATCCTAGAAATGCATTTGTGTATCTTTCCTCGGGGATGTCACGCTTTCTCAATAATTTCATCCCTAGGCACTCTGTATAGAATCTGCACACAATTACAGAAAGTGAAAAGAGAGGGTAAGAGAAAAGATGACCATGACAATTAAACAGAATTAGACAAGAAAAATATGGAGTGTCAAGATATTTGGACTTTATTGTTCTGTCAAGGTCTCCAACACGGTAAACAACATGGAGCATTCTTCTCTTGTCCTGTTTGACCCACTCCAGTACATTTTCTTGGGTAGCAGCAGTGCTTGCAGGTGCCATATTTCCGGCAGCACTGATTGACAAACTGCCTCCTTTTTCTCTTAATAGCTTAGAAGCTTTTAGGCCAAAAGACTGCAACTGGGGAACCGCTGCATAACCAATAATATCACCAAGTAAGAAACTCTCTTACGAACAGATGAACACACTAACATCCTGGGATACAGTAGTCTCTGAAGGTCAACAGACATAAGCAACAATTTCCACCAATAGCATACAAATGGACGACATTAACTGGTATACTGGCGAGCAAATCATAACAGAAATTAACGCAAATTATCTGAGGCAGTGTCTCTGTCCTGAAGAATTAAAGTAAATGGAAGAGTTGGAGAATACAACTTGAAACAGAAATCTACTGCACCAACCTTTCTAATTTACTCCAGCACATGTTTCCACATTCATCTAAGGGAGGTGTTCATACGGTGAGTGTGGGGTAGTTGCTTATTAATGCATGGAGGAGTCGTTTTTTAACTAACTAAATAACAGCCTAAGTTAAGCAAATTGAGGCATGTAAGATTCAGTCGACAAATATGCTGTCTAAAAAGTAGAAACCAGAGAACTTTTAAATAAAAGCAACTCGAAACTCAATCCCCTCCAGGATAACTCTAACCCCAGAAAATGGTGCTCTTTAATAAAATAAGAACCAGCTATAAAAGATGAGACTTTTAACGACTAGACCCTCTTTTAAAGTCATTTGCCACGACGTCTTCAATCCAATGGGAAACAGAAAGGTAGTAAACCACATTAGCTATGTACGATTAGCATAAACAATACGACTACAAGTTAAGATATTTCTAAAGTAGACTGCATTACAAATGACATTAGTACTCAATTTCTATGGAAAATATCTTTGCCTGTAACGAAGTAAAAAACATTCACTACCCGAAACACAGATAACTACTATATGTCAATAAACCAATACCACTTTATACAGACAATTCAATAACAAATGGTACATCTATTTCAGCAATATACCAGAATCTCATTTCCATGTTCAACACACACACAAATGAAGAAAAATCTATTTCACTAGCATTAAAACAACTTCTTTAACCTCCAAATCCAACCAGCATACAACATTTCCCTTGTGCAATTTACTAGTACTCTGGTCCACATACTATACTACAAAAAAACACCAAATGGGTACACAAAAAATTGGTCATAAATTTAAAAAAAAAAAAAAAAAAACGAAGCGGGTATAGCAAAAATACGAAAAAGGGGTTCAAAATTGAGAGGTGAAAATGAAAAAGATAGAGAATTTACCAGTACCCAGATGACAATAAGTGAATTTCCGTGTAGAATTGTGTGAGAAAAGCGAAACTGAGAAACGTGATGACCCAGAAAACTTGAGAGATGAAAGTGAAGGTCTAATTGATGATGCCATAGGTAAAATTCTCACCATTTATGTTGATTTAAAGCTGCTTTTTGCAGCTCCTATATATATGGAGGGATGATTGATTGGGTTTTTTTTGTGATTCTTGGAAAAATTGAAGATTTGATATTTGTGGAGTGAAGTGTGGAGCTAAAGAGAAACAATTTTTGATGATGACAAAGTTTGTAGGATTGGACGGAGAAGAATCAAGACACTATTCCAACTCCTTTTGGGCTTCATGGATGGGCTATTATGGCCCAAACATCAAAATTATGTGAAAAAATAATTTGTAATATTACGAATCTTATCAGATTTTGGTGTGTCCAAATACATTTAGATACAAGTATCTCAGGATACATGGGGTCAAAATTAGGAGTGAGTTGTTCTACATACACTGTATTCAAATGGATTCTCGTGTATCTGGGATACATAACAAATTTTGTTCGCCTTACTTTCATCTCGCTCGTCACTCTCTTATGTATCTGATATCCCTGATTCATGTGAACCACACAAGACATCTATCTTGTTTGCCTCTCTCTATTTTTAGTATATCTTTAGAAAAATTACATGTTTATACTATAGTGTAGTATTTGCTTAGACCAAATTTGTATGTTTTTTCTTTAAAAAATAATAATCATAAATGCATTAAGAATAACATTACATCTTTTATATAATTTTACATATTCAAGGCTTGAATCAAAAACTTTTTATTAAGAAATAAAGAATAATACTAATCACTCCACTACCATCTTTAATGGTTGTCAAATTCTTTTGACTATCTAGATTTGTTACTTCAAGTCATTATCATCTCCTTTGCGTTGAATTGTATGTTTTTCTCTATAGTTAAAATTGAAGATTGTTTCAGCTTTAGGTTAAAACAAGATGATTTAGGTTCGAGTTTTGAGGTGAATACATTTTAATTGAAATTGTTTTACCCCGAAAGGGAGAATTATATTATTCAAGCATAAATTTAAATTAATCTAATCATAAAGCGAATAAGAATGATCAAATTAAAAGAAGAAGAAATTAGAGAAATTTAAATCATGAATTAATTTGAAATCAAGATCCCCAATCTTTAAAAGAGGCAAGCATAATTATATTATATAGTTTCCCATTGAAAATACAAAGAGGTAATTAATTAAATTAACCTATTTGATCAATTATATGTCACGGGGCTTGAAATTGTGTATTGGGATATTTCTGGAAAATCCAACCAAGATGATATCACCCTATGGACAACTAATTAAAATTTTCATCATCAATTGACACAATATAAGCAAACAAAAAACATATGGGATCCACACACAAAAAAAATAATTAAGATATAGATCAATTATATGTCACCAGGCTAGAAATTATTTGACTCTCAAAATTTGAATTATGTCATATAAATTAATTACTGCTCTATAGTCTAGCCTTTTTCTTTTCTTTTTTTGGCAAAGGAGTAATTTTAATATCTATTAACTATCACGTACCTAGACACATTAATGCAGTGTTTAAAAATTATCTGAACTAACATGACATATGAAATATAATTGTCTTTTTAGTTACTCATCATCTAATTTGTTTTGTAATTATAATAATATTTACCAGCAAATGCAATAATTTGAAATATGTAGATCAATTGAAAAAGTTCGAATATACTCTAAATAATTAAAAAGATTCAAATATTTAAGATAGAAGCTTGATCAAAGATTTTTATGCGCTGACGAATTAATAAAGGCCATATATGAAGAAAATCGAATAAAATTAAGGAGCCTTGTCTTAATGTGAAAATGGAACTAGGTATAACACTTTTACTAGGTGTTAAAATAATATAGTAATAAAGCTAGAAATTTTAATCGGAAAATTAAAATAATAGAATATATAGACAAACATTTAGGACTATCGAGTGTTTTAAAAGGTGTGGGAGTGAGGCGAGGCGTTTTACTTAGTTTAGGGCGAGGCGTAAGCCTCGAGACGTGGAGCGTAAGCTCTATGGATCTTTAAATTTTTAACTATAATAATATAATAACACAAAATTATAAAAATACATCAAAGTTTGAAATAATTACAAACATGATTAATGAAACTCATAGAAAATAAAACTTCTAACATGATTATACAAGTATAAATATTCTAATGTCTTAACTTTTTAATAATAAAAGAATCATTATTTATAAAAATATTTTTTTTATCATATTACGCAATTCACCCCCCCCCCCTAAAAGAAAATAATAAACAAAACTTACTAGTATTATAATAAAAACATCACTCAATGATGAATAAAAATAAAATTACTTTCAAATAGCTAAATAAAATAGGGATAAGGGTCTGAAAAATACCCCAACTTTGGTCGGATTTGTTGTTGCGATACTAAACTTTCATGAGGACCTATTACCTCCCTAGACTATTTAATACCGTATTTTAAACATATATATTTTCTCACGTGGACATAAAATTTAATGCAAAATTATAAATAGTAATGTGTCCACGTGGGCACATATATACCTTTAAAATACACTATTAAATAGTTCAGGGGGTAAAAAATACGGTATTAAATAGTCTACGGAGGTAATAGGTCCTCATGAAAGTTTAGTATCGCAACAACAAATCTGACCAAAGTTGGGATATTTTTTAGACCCTTATCCCAATAAAATATGATAACTTTGAGATTTATGACAAAACCATGGAGAGTAATGATAAGTGAAAAAAGTAAAATTTCATTACATATTTTAAAAAGAAATGTTACATAATGTATAATCACCTTCACAATGTTATCAAATAGTAAAGATGTGATACTATAACTTATTATTTGAGTTACTCTCAATCTTCTTATCTCAATAGATTAAAAAATTATGAAGTATCATTCATTTATTCAAGAATTATGAGGGTCAACAATGTTAACTAAAGATTTTAACGCATAATTTGTCTAAGATCTGTTAGGCGAGCCCCCGAGCGTTGGGCGTTGGGCGTACTTAGGGTGTACAGTCGGGTGCTTAGGGCGTAAGTCTTATAGAACTAAATCCCACACTTGAATCTCAGAACGTTTTGCTAAAGTCCCGCCCCAGAGCGAGTCCCAACAGAGTCTTTTAAAACATTGGGACTATCCATATAAGTCTCTATACTAATACTCACTAGATTTAATATAAAGGTAAAGTAATATTCAATCTTTAATTATAACAAGTCGGTATTATATTAATTTAACAGTTATGTTCTTTTCATTATAAAAGATATATATATATATATATATATATATATATATCTTTAAATACACTTTTCATTTTGTGATTTTAGTTCAACATATTCAATCATCATGACATTGTACCTACGAGCCTATATAAAAAAAATAGCAACTAGGAAAATACAAGGAAAAAAAGTAGTACTATACATTGTAGTGGTATTATTTATTCTTATTGTTGATTAAATAATACAATTAAATAAGAATAAGTCGGCTTAAATTAAAATATGATGTATAATGAAGAGTACAAACAACAACAATATTTCAATAGTTTAAAACTACTCTTACTTGAATTTCGGGGCAAAACCGCCCTTGAGTGACATTATTTTTTGGACTCGAATCGAAGAATTCTTAGATATGATGCAAAGGGCTCTTGGTTAATTCACATAAGCTATTATGAATATAATCACAATTAATATTACTATTATCAAGTATTCGAAAATGGATCAAAAGTGAATTACGAGTCGGATCAATTTGTGAATCGAGCAAGCTCCCCTTGCCTGTAATGATGTGATGATAAACCTTTTATTCTAATTCAGTGCTCTCCAAATCATGCTGGAAGGGAAACGAGGTTCATCCAAATTCTCTTTCACGAAAAATTATATCTTAAATAGTAGATATTGGATGGCATTAGCTTCTTGATATATTTATTTTTTATTAAAATTTTTGACTTCGTCACTCTTTATTATATGGGCCCGGAGTATCAAAGAAATCCCTAATAAAGACACAGAAAATTGCCAAATCCAGGAATTGGCATTTTACAAATCACATATTCCTTGTGATAGCCAGAAAATTACAAAAATATAAAAAGATGGGTATCATTGAAATGGACAAGAGGTGGCATTTCATAAATTGTGTATTTTAAGGAGTTGTTAGACCTAATCACACAATTAGAAAAAAGTTAAATAATAATATATCAAAACAAGTAAAACAGAAAAATAATTAAATGTACTTCTTTTGGCTAAGAAATAACACTACAAGAACAAAAATCACATAACAACATATTCAGTATAATTTTTCAGATAAAATCTGTATATGATAGACTGTACGTACATATTTTTCCGCTATCTCAGAAAGGCAAGAAAAAAAAAACTCAAAAGTGTTTACTTCTTTTTTAATTAGATTTAACATTACATATGTAAGACAAACCTCATCCCACCAAATGAAAGTAAGTAAAAGCCTTTTACCATCACGAATCAGATGGTACATACTCATCCATCCTTAGTTAAAAATCTCGGACTTGACCGAATTGAAGTAAAATGTCATCTTTGCACTTTACTTTGAAAACAAGACTTTCCAATGCAAATTCAGATTAGTCAAGTCGCAAAAGCAGATACCGAACATCAGATAAGAAAAATACTTATGGAAGACAAGAAACTATACATTGAATGATTGTCTTGCATACCTTTTTTCCCTATTTTCAAACCATTGAACTGTTCTTCTTGCAATTGGAAGCCAAAGTTTCATCCTTTTTTCCTCAACACAAGTAATAGAATTGTCTCTATTACAATTCCTAGTATTGAAATCATCAAATCTTGGACATATCAAAATCTCAGACATACTTCTCTTCTCATTTTGTCTCAACACATTTGATGTACTTACAATATTATTGTTGTAATTTCTTGATTCTAATGATGAGTTGAATCTATTGTTCGTCATGTCATTGATCATTTCAGTATTCAAGAACATGAAATCCGAAGAACTAACGTTGCTCCATCGATGTTTCAACACAACATCAGACACAACAATCTTATGATTGAACTTGTGCAACATATCATGATGATCATCATCAATTATGTTCTGTTTTTCCTCTGTTTTATCGAAAAAACTATCTTCGTTTTTCTTGAAACTCATGCTGCCACAATTTTCTTCTCTTTGTACATAAAGTTCCAAATTGGAATCATTTCTTAAAAATCGAAAACTATTTGAATATGTTAACAATGAGTTG